ATTTTCCTGTTCGATAAGGGGTTTCAGAAATTTTTCGAGATCCTTTTCCTCTGTTGTATTAAGACACGCTGAACCCGAATTTGACCTTCACTTATCTCTGAGAACCCCCCGTATTCTGGAAGATCCAATTTTTCTGGGTCAAAAGCTTTACCGGGCGGTTTCCACCTCCGGGGAAATTCTTCCCAAGGCTAGGAATCTCGGGAAATTTTAAAAATTTTCCGCGTGTGTGATACATCGATTTTCATGAAATCCAGGCTGATAACCCCGAATATGGCCCCAGAAAAAATTTCCCCGGAGGTGGAAACCGTCCGGAAAAACTTTTGGTCCAGAAAAATTGGACCAGAAGAATTCTTATTTATTTATTTTTGGTCGAACAGTGTATTTAGGTTAATATCGGAAAAGTCTAACTTTTCTAAATTGGTGGGGGGGGGGGTTCTTATTTGTAGAGTTAGTAAATTTGTGGAGTTAGTAAATATTAGTATCACCAAAATTTAAACCCCGCTGTGAATAATTTGAGAGGGGGAGCAGAGAAATGAAAGTAAAGAAAAAAAAAAGCGATAAGCCTTGTTAGTCGCAAAACTGAAAAAAGAGTATAAAATAAAATCTAAGAAGTTGGGACGGATGAACGGAATTCACCGACAAGCAAAATAAAAACTCAACATGAGCAGAGTAGAGGGAAAAAGAGTAAAAGGAAATTTTATAACAGCTGACTCTCCTCTCACGAGCTGAACGCTCACTGCACTTTCCGCTTCTCGCTCATCCGAATCTCGATTATCCGTTACTGAACAAAATACGAGAATTATGTGGCAACATGGCGCATGTAGTCAAACGCGGACTGTCATAACCGTTTACCTTCGTTTTCCGTCGGAAATTTTTTTTAAGGATTGAAACTTTGCAAGAAATTCACTGAATGTATGGGCTATACGTTTACTACATCTAAGTCTCGAATTTTTTTGCCGATTTTGAATAAATTGCTTGAAACACTCGTCATCTCCTGAGGCCGCCCATGAGTTCACCCGCCGTTCAGTGTCGTTTGACTTTATTTGTAGGATTTTTGCTACGATATTTGACATACATTTAGTTCATATACCTAGCTACAGCGTTTGTATGTTAGAATTTCGAAATTCTTCCATCATTTTCAAAATTTTTGGGAAAAGTCGGGACATGACTCTCATTTCAAATTTCGCGGGAAAACCGACTCCAGCGCGATCTCTTATCGGAAATTTGCGAATCGAACTCCGGGAGGAATCACCTTAAGTGTGTAAACATAACCAAACTTTTTCATTAGTGACTGCTGTCATAATAAAATTAAGTTTTATCCACACCGTCGCTTTAATTTTTATTTAATTTTTAATTTTTTACAGCGCAGTGAGTTGTCAATGCAGAATAGTTCAATTATTCTACTACCACGCTCCTTATTTTCGTGCCTCAAGCTCCAGCGGAGTGCTAGTATCAATCGAGTAAGATGCATCTCGCAGACTGTTAATTAAATTTTTCTCCTCGAGTCCTCAACTTTGAGGAGTTACTCAAATGGTAGTTCAGAAAAACCAAAAACATGGCTGAAATTAATTGGCCCTGGCAGTATAATTTCCCTCCATTTTTCACGTAAGTAGATTTCAAACACGATTTTTAGCCTTTAAGAAGTAGCCGTTTTTCATACGGTCATTGACAATTTTTGAAGACAACCGGGTAAAGTCCTATTTTACGGGCTTTTCACAATTATGGATGAGTTATCCAGGGAAGGCTTATTGCATGCCAGATTGGACCAGTGAATAGTGATTTGATCTAACCCCTTCAGAATTGGATGAAATTTGCCCCACTCATGTTGCTCAGTGTTCGGGTGGAAAATTTTAATTTTTTCGATGCCTTACTCAAATTTTGTCAACTTTAAAGTCTGGGCATATTCATGGACATGGGACCTTTTAGAGTTTGTAACTTTAGAATGATTGATCCAAGCCAAACCACTCTGGTATACCAATGAAAAGTCCCTGAAATGCACTTCTTACTTATACGCAACACAATCTGACATGGCTTCAAATCTGTTATCAAATTTTGAAGTGAATATTAAGTTATTTTAAGAAGATGTAAATTGAATCGTACGAGAATCTGACTGGAGGTCAGTCCTACCGTGAGATGTCAATTTTTAACTAAAAAAGTTTTAATCAAAAAAATTTGAAGTCATCAGATTGTGTTATGTGTAAGTCAAAAGTGCACCTCAAGGACTTACCATTAGTACTAAGTGCAGTTTGACTCAGATCAACCCTTCTACAATTACAGACTCCTGAAGGTGCCACTTCTACGAATATGCCTGAACTTCAAAGCTCAACAGCAGTTGAAGGATACATCGAAAAAAATTTAAATGTAGGTTTTTTAACTCAGGTCACTGAGCAGTGTTAGTGGACCAAATTTCATCCACCTCTGAAGGGACTGGGTTGAAACGTCCCAATTCTGGTTTGATTTGGCATGGAAAGTTCTTTGTTCTTGTCGGAACCTTAGGAGAAGAATATCAGAAAAAAACGAAAAAAAAAGAAACCATTGGGGAGTGGAGGCAAAATTAAAGAAAGAGGAATCACAGTGTCTCAATGCCAACACATGCATTGCATGAGCCAAGCTTGTCCTGTAGTGGACTGCTGAGTTAGAGGTTAGCTGGGGGAAAAAAAATTCTAATGACAAATGCAATCAATGCATTTAGCAAAAAGGGACCAGTGCAATTACATTGTTGCAAAAATGTTGCTTCTTCATAATTATCTGAAAAAATTTCTTGGAACAGCAAACTTTTTTGCTTCTCATCAAAAAATTGTCAATTTGAAAGGAAAATAATTGCGTCAATGTTTATACTGAAAATATTTTGAGTATTTTAAAAGAGAAGAAGAAGTGCACAGTTTTGAAAACACTGTAATTGGGCTGGTTCCTTTTTGCTAAATGCTATCCAAATATTCAATATTTTTTTACACCTAAAGCAGCGATGCTCAATAAACAGCACTGTTAGTGGCCAATAAATTAATTTTTGTACCCTGTAGATTTAGGACCCTTCGAAATTCCTCTTTAATTTGAGATTTTGATATTTTAAGGCCTCAAAGAAAGATAGCATGAGGACGTATGAAGTTAAGCCATTCAGCCATTGTTTTGCTCCACACTTAACCATCTTCGAAATTCAGAAAAAATAACTTAGTTGCATTTCCTTTTAGGTGGGGGGGGGGGTGCAAGGCTGAAGCTCTAATTCGAGGCATTTTAAGGACATTTTTACGGAGGTAAAAAGTCGTAATTTGACCTATACCACTCACACCTCTAGTCTGGGCGTTTAACCCCAAGACAACATGTCTAGTCACATAATTTCCAATCAATGCCTTCTTGCAGGTTGGAATCTGTTGAAGGCCCTATTTTCTTCAATACATTTCAATATTTTTTTCGAAAACTGATTTCAGGATACAACCAAACAAGGAGACGCAGAAGTTACAATTGGATGCTTGGAAGAGTCTTGTTCTTGACTATTGTAGATCAACAAAACAATGTGTTATTGATGTTCGGGAAGCAAACAACTCGCCTGTTTTTCACAATGCTGCCATCTCCAGTATCCTTTTTTCTCAGTTTTTAATTTGCTGATACATTCAATTGAATTTTCGTGTTTCTTGCCCAGTAATTGCTATTGAAATAGGATAGCAGTGTGAATGAAGGAGTTGAATAACATTTTTGTGGTTTGAGACAAAACATTTTTTAAGGAAAGAAATGATGCCCTTATAGCTTAAGATGAAAATGGACTCCATTAATGGGGTGGAAAAAGCAAGGTCCATGTTGTCTTCACAAGGTTTACCTAGTGATGAGTTCAAAAGATAAATATGTAGATTTTTAATTGTGTAAAGTACCTAACTATTCATCCTTGATCAAATTAACGCTATCCCAGAGCTCCTATTGATGATACGCTCTTGTAGAAGTTAATTTCCGCAATGAGTTTCTGGGAAAAACTTTAATTCAACATTCTGAGGAAAGAATGCAATCCATGGCTGAAGTGCAAAACAACGTTTCTTCATTTGCAGCGTTGCATACTCCCTGCTATACCTCATTTTTTCCTTGAAAAATTAGTGGATGTAGCACCTTGTCTCCATGGGACGTTTAATGGGATCTGTCCCAAGTTTGAATCATAGGAAAGAAACTTCTCGGCTTCTTCCCTGTTAAACAAAGCAACACAATTTTTTCTCCTTTATTTGGAATCCCTCCTAGGACCCTACAAGGATTCTTTTTTGTAAGTACTGTGATTAGTATTGACTAACTCAATATTTTCCCCAACTTCCAAAGTGAGATTATTCCCTGGGGCAAATCCTATGAAATCTCCCGTGGAGACGAGGCCTGATTTCTTGAATGCCTCCTTGACTTTTTTTCTGTCAGCAGAATATTCTGCATGAATTTCAAGGTATTAAGTTGGATTGTTTCTCACTGCAAACAGTGGCAAGGCGTGAAGAATCGATTATCAATATTTCCCCCTTTAAAGCTATGGCAAAGAATCGATTAATGAGGTTTTTGTTGTGAACACCCCGTTTATCGATCCTTTTCTATAGGTTTAAATGGCATATCAATCGATCTACCGAAAAGTACCTTTGAGAAAGAAAATTTACCTGATAGAAAATTTGAAACTCAGTAATTGAAATATGTGGACACATACGGAAAACACCTACTACTAGGTTCTTGAGTCAGGAATTTTAATTTTGAAGCAGTTAGAACAGATTGCTGCTTTGCCATTGTAGCAATAGAGATGTTGCATATGTGAGGAATTTGCGATTTGACATTGATTCTTATGTAACAGTTCGCGAGAAACACGATGGTGCCACTGGTTTTCTCTGAAATCAACTCCCAAGCTCAAAAAAAGCTCTCAAGTTGAGGCCCAAATGGAGGGGACATCCGATGCTATCCTGAGAGTCCACCTCTATATCAAAACAATCTCTCCATGCAAAGATAGGGAGTAAATACTTTAGCAGTGATGCCGTGTTTTCAGTTTTAGAGTCCCCAAATAAAGTGGCAGCCCTGTCAATGTATTTGCTCCCTATCTTTGCATGGAGAGTTTGTTTTGATGTAAAGGTGAACTCTCAGGATAGTGTGGGATATCCCCTCCATTTTGGCCTCCACTTGAGAGCTTTTTTGAGCTTGGGAATTGATTTCAGAGAAAACCAGTTGCACCATCATGTTTCTCGCAAACTGTTACATAAGAAATAACAGTCAAATCGCAAATTCCTCACACATGCAACATCTCCATTGATTGCCCAAAAACTCCCGTTAGGACTTGCCTTAAGATACAATGTTAGTGCCTTGTTTTCCTTAATGAGTTTTCAGGAAAACTACCTCCCGAGGGAATACTATTGGTGCTAGAGGAATTAGCTGCTTCCGGCAATGCGGAGCCTTTAGATAAAACCAAAACTAGGTCTGTGAATTTTCCATCATGTCCGTTTTCCTTCAAATTTTCCTCAATTTTTTCCATGAAATGAAAAATCCTGATGAAAAATTTCTATTATGTTATCACGATCATTACTTTTAACATTTTGACCAAAATTTGAAGAAAATTGTGTGATCTTATTTATTTACTGATTTCAACCATTTTTTGGTTTGAAAAATCAATCCAATCTTAAATCAACCCTCGCAAATTGATGTGATTTTTCCGATTATTTGTGTCCAAAAATTAATTCGTAGAAATAATCAATTTGCAATTGCCAACTATATCTTTTGCACCATGCAGAGTCACATTAGTGCTTACCTTCTAAAATGCTTGATATCTAGAGAAAGGCTATTTCATTTTCAAAATTCAGGTGTTCAGATACTACCTAGGTATTTTTCCCCTAGCATGTATTTTATACATGCAATCAGTAAATGACCTTATAATATCAGTACAATTGATATATACGCACCAAATTAGTTGGTTATGGAAGCCACTTTCATAAATTGTTGAATTATATCTTTGCACAGTAGGGCTCTTGCTGCATAACATTAAACTTTTTTTGTCTGAACAGGCTGGTAACTAATTTAGACGCACCAATTTTGACATGTTCCAGGTGGTTCATTTTCTGGCGGACACTGCAAGAATTAGCATCAATAATCCACACTTGGGCAAAGGATAATGGCTTTACTAACACAGTGTGCACTTTTTATGAGCTTACGAATACCCCAGATCAAGGTTTGTCCCCTCTGTTGTTCCAATGTCCTTATTTTATCTGATAAGTGCATCAAACCTTGAAGGGCAGTGAGATTGACTTATTTTCTACTCGTCAGGAAAGAGTCGAATTTAAATCCTGCTTAGACACTGGACATTAACTTGGTAACAACAGTCGGCCTCACAGTGGTCTCTCTTTCCTTTTGGTACAGTTTTAATAAGTTTGCTTTGTGCTCAGAGATGCAAAATGAAAGTTCATTTTACTGAGAAACTTAACTGAAATTTCACTGTGAAATTTCCATCTTTCGTAGTTTCATTGCATCTCTGTCTTTGCCTGCATCGAGTATACTAAGTAATCAGTAGGTTACTGCGATGGACCATGGGACAGGACTTACGAGGATATGTTGGAGAGCCATGGGCAGGAAATTATAGAAGTGAGACAGCAGATTTCAATTTGATGGCTTTTTTTTTTGCTTTTCAATATTTGTAGTGAGCCAATTCAAAGAGGAAATAAATTTCCACAAATTTTTCGAAGTGATTTTTTCTAAAAAGCACACATTTGCTGCAGCTCTTTCAATAAGGTTACCTAGTTTTATATTTATTTTATTTTATTTATTTTATTTTATTTATTTTATTTTATTTTTTTCTTTCAATGCTTTTATCAAGATGTTTAAAATCCTTGAAAGTCCATGATTTTGGTTTACTGAAGCTGTCATGAACACCAGTGAAAGTTTTTCATTTTATTAGTTCTCTACAATACTCATTAAATACGCAATATTCTTCAATGGGAGGGATCAAAGAAGGGAGGTGCTTTGCTCATTATTTGAGAGGGATAAACTCAAATCTTCATACCTTTATTCCCTCAATAAATCAGACGCGTACCTCACTTGAATCAGATTTTTTTTTTCCTTCGCTTTTCTCTTCATTCAATGCATATTTTCTCCATATGAATAGACTTGAATATTTTCTTAAATGAATAAGATTTTACGACTAACAAATTTTTTCTTTAATTTTTTGTTTTAGAATTCTCAGGTATTGATGAAGATGTTTTGCAAAAAGCCCTTAAAGAACTGGAAAAGCAAGGAAAAGCCGAAGTGATCCTAAGCCCAGAAATTAATGGTGTCAAGTTTTTCTAAACTCAACGGAGTTATGTATTATATTTTGTGATAAGTGCTTCTATCTCTCTCTTTTTTTGTTTTTTTAAGAATTTATTGATAATAAAAATTTGATGAAATATATCGAAATATTTTTTAAATTTTCACACCGAACTGTTTCTCTTAAACAACGAATAATTGACTGGATTGGCCAACATCAGGAACTCTTAAACTTAGCCTCAGGAAATCATTGATTTTCACTAGATGGTTAAAGTGGTATGAGGTTGTGAGGAAACGTAGGATCTGTATTTTTTTACTGCATGGGAAAATCTCACAGTGTTTTTTAGATTCTCAAGTATACGTACCCTTTTATTTCAAAGACCTTTCTGTGCTCTAGAGTTAGTAACTTGCACCTAGGAGAGTGTAACGACAGTGAAACTCCTAATTAGGAGTTTCACTGGATTTAACCACTTCTCTAGGTTTGGAACATCGTAGACTTCCGGTCATACTTAATTTTTTAGATGCAAAATTACTCAACGTAGATTCCTTAACATTTCCGTGATTTTTCTGCTCTGTGCAAAGAAAATTGTGTAAAATTTAAGGGATGGTATTGATTTGTTTTTCTTCAAAAAAATGAAAGTGAAGCGGAGATTTTAAAACACTGCAAAGGAAATACGTACCTACATGGATGGGGATTTTAATCGTCGATAAATTCCGTGTGCTGGAGCCAAGCAAAAGGGCCCTTAGGGTGAGAAATTAATATACTGAGTTAACTGTCCCACAGCTTAGAGGGGTAGCATTTGGTGTAAAATGCCAAAAAATTCCTGTATTTGACTCATGGAGAGCATCTCAAAGGTAGAGGGCGATAAAGCATGAAGTTGAGTAATTGACAGATACAGTTTGCTGTGCTCATTTGGAGGCAAAGAAAGCACGGTTAGGAAAACCAGGAAGAATTGTCGAGGACACCTCTATGGGACTTGTTTCTATTGAGAATACCTGTTCGCCAGGACGGAACAATCTGCATAATATTGTCTCGTACCGGGGTAGTTTGAGCATCTTTTGGAATTTGAATTTACCGCGCTTGTGGTTAGTGAAGGTTGCAGAGAGCTAAGGGCTAAAGTTATTCGTGGTGTATAAAACGCGAAAAATTAAAATAATCGTAAATTTTCATCAGATCACAACCGAATATAGTCTAGTGTTATTTATTAATATTTTTTGTTTTATGATTCATCCATGTCCATAGAATTGATCAAATCTAGTCCAATTCATCAGAACAACATGATGATCAAGTTTTGGTTTTACAGTGAAGTAGTTGGTACTCTATAGTAAATAACACGTTAACCTCAAAACTCTTTCGCACGGTGAAATTGCTCGCGATTGGTTTTTTCGGTGATGAAACGACACTCGTGCGTATGTAATTCGTAAACAAAACTGAAAGTGAGTCTATCGTCATTGAGGTTTGTGATTTTTAACCATGACTTAATTTCATTAGTCCTATCTTCTCGTTCTACCACGAGTCTTGTTCACTAGGGATCGCAGCATGTCGTCCAGTAACAAGTGTAAAAATTGTGGTTCCTCGGATCTCGAGGTAGATTCGGCTCGTGGTGACACGGTTTGCACCTCATGTGGTACGGTACTCGAGGATAACATCATCGTCTCAGAGGTCCAGTTCGAAGAGAACGCCCATGGAGGTACTTCTGCATTGGGGCAGTTTGTGTCATCCGATTCCAAAGGTGGCTGTCGAGGTTTCGGAGGAAGCTTCCACTCGGGGCTCAGCAAGGAGTCCCGAGAAATTACCCTTCAAGCTGCTAAGAAATCCATTTCCAACCTGTGTCAACAACTGCGCTTGAACCAGCATTGCCTGGAAACTGCGTTCAACTTTTACAAGCTGGCACTGAATCGGCAGTTCACGCGGGGCCGCAAAAGCACACATGTCACAGCTGCTTGTGTGTACATTACGTGCAGGCTTGAGGGCACCCCGCATTTGTTAATAGACTTAAGTGATGTCCTACAAATCTGTGCATTTGAACTTGGTCGAACGTATCTTCGACTCTCAAATCTCTTGTGTATTAATATTCCCTCCATGGATCCATGCTTGTACGTTTTGAGGTACGCAAACAAACTAGAATTCGGAGACAAGACTCATGAAGTCAGTATGACTGCAATGAGGCTGGTGACCCGGATGAAAAAGGACTCCATTCATTATGGAAGACGTCCTTCTGGATTGTGCGGCGCAGCATTGCTGATGGCTGGACGCCTCCATGACTTTAGTCGCTCGATTGGTGACATCGTCAAAGTTGTAAATGTGCAAGAAGCAACCCTTAAGAAGCGGCTCCTTGAATTTGCAGAAACCCCGTCCAGCTCATTGACGTTAGAGGAGTTCATGAATGTGGATCTTGAAGAGGAGCAAGATCCACCATCTTTCCGCGTAGCTAAATTGAAGGACAGAGACAGACTTCAGAAACTTGAGGAACAAGATGAAGCCTATTTCTCTGCCTTGCAAAAAGAAATTGACAAGCAATTAGAATTAAAAAGAGCAACCACCAAGAAGATACCGAAAGCGCTCGGAGCAAAAGTTGCCAATCTGAATTTAGAAGAGACTGATACCAATAAGTAAGTAATACGTGATCATTCTCTTATGTGAAATCAAAATAATTCCAGAAATAATCAATATAGGTATTGTTTAAACAATTCTCAGATTAGTTCTTGCAAAGTAATGTATCACTAAAAATACTTACTATCTTCACTGAAAATAGTGAAGAAAAGTAAAAGAAATTGAATCACTTAAAAATTACATTGACAACCTTTCAACCTGACTCCTAAAATTAAAAATATTGATCTCAAATTGTGCGCAGCGTGAACAGACTCTGTTTCAGTTAAATTGACCTTTCTTTTTTACTCGTGCAAGCATGGTACTTGCTACATGCACAAGCAGATGAAAAGAGTAAACTCATCTGAACCAGAGAATAACTACATTAGTGAAAATAAGGTTCTCTTTTTCTCTCTTTTTTAAAATTCTGCAGAAATATGAAGATGTATCTCATCGGTCGGAGAAGGTCGGCAGGAATTTCTAGGAGAGATCGGGTCTGTAATGATAGAGTGCGTCAGATAATGGAAGTCGAAAATGACATAGTGTTCGACGTCATGACCAAACAACTTGTTTGGTATGGTCATGTCAATAGGATGACTGAAGAGAGGCTGCCAAAAAAGATGCTTGATTGGGTTCCTCCTGGGAGGAGACGTAGGGGACGCCCAGTGAGAGGTTGGCGACAGGGGGTGTTGAGTGAGATGAGGGAGTGTCAACTCCCTGATGACCTGTGGGAAAACCGAGCTTTGTGGCGATTAGGCGTCGTAAAGCGCCAAAGAGCGCTATAAAAGCGACTCATATGTATGTATCTCATGGCTTATCTTTCAGTTTACCTGTATCGTTTTTTTCAATTCATGTAACCTTCATCTCAGATCGAGATGAAAATTTGTTTATCCGAGTATACAATAAAAAAATGCAACTCTCATAAAGGAAAAAAGCTAGGTACAATGACGAACAAAATTCAACTCTCCTGGATGATTTAAAGTTATTAATTGGCAAGAATTTTTTAAAATATATTTTAATGCTCATTTTTTCCCTGATTTAGATTTGTAGCAGAATCCACTTTACCTGTGATTGATTCATGCCTCCAAGAGTCAGAAACAGTTGAAACGAGGAAGGTTGTTGGCATTGCTCCGACATTGAAGAACATGAAGATCTTACCTACTGTTACGACCACTAAAGAGGTTGAAAAATCAAAAGAACAGGAAGTGGTCAGTGAAGAACTATTAATAGATGATTTAGATGACTCAGAACTGGATGGGTACATTTTAACAGAACAAGAAGCTAAAAACAAGGACCATTTATGGAACAAGATCCATGGGGCCTTCCTTCAAGAACAAAAAGAGAAGAGAGAAAGGTAAGTTTTATTTATTCAATAATTTTTTTCAGTCGTTCAGTCCTTATTAACCCGCATATCGATGATGATACTGCAGAAATGCGTATTTCCGTTTGCGGCATTGCAGACTTCCTGTCAAACTTTATTTTCTACATGGAAAGCTACCAGACGTCATTGTTTGAAAATTTCAGTGATTTTTCTTATTTTTTATGGGGAATAATATTCTGTAAAAACTTTAGGTCATTATACTGGTTTGGTATCTCTTTTTAAAAAATAATATAGTAGCGGAGATTTCGAAACACTGCAACCAAGATACGCATTTTAGCAATTTCACTGTCGATATATTTTATGAGCAAGCTCTGAGAATTGGGCACACCCAATGATCATGTCTCTATTTCTCAGCTCTATCCAAATTTTTCTTGATTATCAATTATAATTGATATTTCTAATCTCCTCCAAATATTCAAGTTTCTTATCTCCTGGGTTTTGATAGCAATGAATGTACTTAAATTTTTCAATCCTTTTGTTTTAGGTTAGAACAAGAAAACGAAGGGAAACCAGAAAAAAAGAGACGGAAGTACAAACCGCGTAAAACAATCACTCCATCCAACTCAGCCAAAGAAGCTATTGAAAAAATATTGCAAGAGAAAAAGATCTCCAGTAAGATCAATTATGATGTACTGAAGAGTTTAACAGCTCCCAGCTCGCAGCCAGCAACTGAATCCGAAACAAACCAACCAGTGGAGGTGCTGGAAATTGAAGAGCCTGCTGCTGTTACTAAAGTACAGCGAAAAAAACCAGTTCCAAAACTGGTTCAGGATGGTCCACTGAGGAAGAGAATCAAGGTGATTTTTTTGCACTCTAATGAGACATGTAGCAAATCTTGCGGTATGAGTGTCTGTCAGCTGTACAGAATTTTTCATGATACATCAGGTTCATTTGTCACAGAATGAGACACTAAGAAGATATGAATCACAGCACCTTCTTTCATGTTTTCTCTTCAAATTTTTCTGTAAGAAGTGACAACTAGAAGTTCGGCAATCAATTTTAAAGCAAGATACAAATATTACATGCAGAAAGTTTAATAGATAATTTAGTCACCTTTAGATGATTGGAAAATTGAGGGACTAATGACAAATTTGCACTAACAAGGGTTTCAAATTAGGAGGATTGGGTTAGAAAAAATTGAATTAAACAGATCTTTAAGGGATTTAAAATGAAGATTCCTACAAATTTCGTTACCTGATTCATATCATGAAATAAATGAAAAATGCTGGTATGAAAATGAAATGAAAAACATCACGGTTTCATCGACATTAAATATTGACGGCGTAAGTTTGCAATCACATATCTCGTTTGCAGTGTCTGAAAATCTCCGCCTCTATGTTAATTTTTGAAAGGAGAACTAATTGACATCATTCCTTGAAGTTTATGCAGAATTTTTTTTGCACAGAGAAGAAAAATCGCGGCAGTTTTGAAGAATTGCCATTGAGTAGTTTTTCGTTTAAAAAATAAAATATGACAGGAAGTGTGCGACGTCGCAAACCGAGTTATGGGATCGCCCACTTACACCGTTGATATGTCCTCTGATTTACAGTCCTTTAGCAAGGTCTACTGTTCATCATACACATTTTGATAATGACCTATTAGAATTTTGGAATTGATGAGAGTTTCATCATTAAATTTTGAATTATCAAGGTACTTGGTTCAGGGAAAATACCGCCTAACTGACAATTTTGGCAAAAATGAGTTAGCAACTTTGCTGTACTTCACAGTATAAAACACGTAAGCTGATGATTTTAGTTTTTTCTAAGTCTGTAGGGGAGTGCTGCAATGACGCTTTAATGTAGGAATTAATTGCAAATCTAACATCAAAATTACAAAATTGGCGAAGTTTTTTCTTCGTCCTGCAGAATTGTCAGTTTACTGGTAGGCGGTATTGGTCCTTCATCGCTACCTATGCTGGACTCTGGAAAATTCATATTTATCAAAGGGAATTACTTCGGCTTTTCCTGAAATGATAAAGGTTTGCTCTAGGTACAAGTTCTTCATCTCATTCTCACGAGAGTTTCGAATTATCAAAGTTCTTATTATCAAAAATTGACTGTAGCAGTGCAATAATATGTAATAGGTCAGCATCTAGCAAATATTCACAGTATTTCACCACAATTTGTAATTCAGATGTTACATACATACAAGTTGCTTCTTAACGCTCCCTGGTGCTCTATAACACGTAGCTCGCGTTGTCTCTTAGCAGACCACAATCCTGCAGAAATTGAGCACCTTAACATTTCTGCCTCAATCCCATCCCTTCCCTCCCTCATTGGATGCCCTCTGCGGCTTCTCCCAGGGGTGCAGAAACTTCCAAGGGTTCCCTCAAAATAAATTTAGGTTCCCCCATTTTAAGTTTTCGCAGAATTTTGCCCGACACATAAAGTAACGCAGTCGACAGTTTGGTTTCCCCGAAAACCCCGCGCTTGAATGTTTTGTTCCCCTAAAAACAGAGCGCTTGACAGTTAGGCTCCCTCAAAGTAGCGCACTCAACAGTCAAGTTCCCCCTAAACCTTTTAAAAAAAAAAAACCCCTCCCAAAGTTCCCCCAATTTTTTCGTCCTCACATGGGTTCCCCCATTTTTCTCGTCCTAACATGGGTTCCCCCTTTTCACGCGAAAGGCCGGTCGCGTGGTTGGCAATTTTCTGCACCCCTGGCTTTTCCATTCAGTTGCTCGGTATTTTAAAATTGATAATATCACTGTTGGACGAAACCCTTTTTACTGGATCAAATGAATCAGTGAGAACGAAAACACACCAACTCTGTAACTCGAAAATGCTTAATTTTCATTAAAAACAGGGTATTTTTACAAAAGTAATTATAGTTAGCGCATCTGCTCCAGTTTGGACATTTCAAGAGTCCTTTAGTACTTGCCCTGCGAAACTAAAAATCTTTTTCTTAGACTAACTTCTTCACCTACCGTGCAGTTTTGTGTGTCTCGATTATTTTCGTTTTTTCGAGTTGGTGTGTTTTTGTTCTCACTGATTCAAATAATGAATGCACTAATACTTATCGTTGTTTCGGATCTTAGGTGGAGAAGGATGCAGAGACCGCCTCGCCCCAAGATTCAAAGAAAGAGGCAGTGGCTGAAGATACCGCAGCTGAGAATGATCAAGAGGAAGAAACCAACGAGGAATTGGAGATGGAAATGGAGATGGAATTGGAGGATGGAGACAACGAAGAACCAGAGCCAGATGGCATCGTGTCATTAGCTGATATGCTGTCGCAGCGTAACGGAGGAGATGAAGACTATTACAATGATTATGACGATTATTAAATTTGTTATTGTATGATATAAGAAGGGTCTGAGGATGTGTCGGCAATTTATGTAGAAGCGTAGTTTTCAAATTGAAAAGAAATTGCATTTCTATAGATTCCACCAAGTGCCCCTCGAAAACCAACAGTAATTATGAAGTCTTAATGAGTAACTTTAATTTTAAAAGAGGGAGCATTCGAGATGAAAGGAGTTTATCTTACTAGTGGACTATTTGTTTAATATTTCTGGTACCTTATTGAGGAAGATAGCTGTCAGATTTTTTTTTTCCTGTATGGGAGCCATCTTATTTTATTTTATATTCATTAAAATTGGATGTATTTATGCTAAAAAGAACTATGTTGCATTCAAAATGTATGCACTTAGTCCCTTGTAGCATAAATACGTCCAAATATTTCTTTCTTTTTCCAAAATATTCAGTAGATTACATATTGCAATCAAGTTGATCTTAAAATTCACGAAAAGAACATAGAATAATATGTGTCCACGCCCTACAGTTTTCCCTCAAGCCATCTCTTTTTGTTTCTTTATCAAGTTTTAAGTTTCGATGTTTTACAAAAAAAGAAAGAGCTGCCATCCAAATTAAGAGTTTCTTGTTAGTAACTTTTTTTATGCCAAAGGAAGGCCGCAATTGGGCCAGCACATCCCAGTAAAGTAGTAATTCTTTTTAAATTTTAGGTCATGGCCAACTCGAAACACTTCAGAACTTCAAGGACTTTTGCCTATGATTGTTTAATGGACTGGCCGCATCACCCTTGATCAATTGAACTACATTTCGCTGTTTGTAACTAAAATTTCTGGCTCAGTTTAGAAACAACATCCATAAATGTTTTTACAGGCACACTAGAATTTTTAGTTCCTAATTGCCACATGAAGTTCAGTTTGACCTCCCGACAAAGCAAATCTTCATTTGCTATTTTTGGTGATTTTAGGTTTGAATCGTACAGCTTTTAGTGCAAATTACATTTTCAGCTTATGCATGACACTTTTCTATTAAATACTATAACCTCTGGTTTTAAATTTAACCAGAGAAACCACTGTAGGATTGTATTTTGCCTCAATGAATCATGGTAGTCAAGATTAAGGATTACTCCAAGCATAAGGTACTCAACGGACTTAACCACAGACCCTTCGTTTTATTTTTGTTGAAATTTTTGTTGATTATTTATTTAATTTGGTTATTTATTGACTTAATATTAGAGTTTTTTTTAAAAAAAATCATCAATGATTATCAGTCCGAAAAATCTGTACAATTTTTGGATTTATTTTTAATTTTAGATTGTGATTGAATTTATTATTTGGTTGTTTAGCAAACCAATGACCAGAATCAAGCTTAAGAATAAAGCCCAACATCAGATGCAATCTCAATAAATGAAAGCTGCCCTTGACAGCTGAAACCTTGTCAATTGTTTAAGATACTGTTTTGACCATTTAATGGGATATTTAAATCTATAGTTTACACTTATCCATGTGAATAGGATAAACCTCGACGAATTGACAGATCTCGTAAGAAGAATGCAATCCATTGAATGGATCCTTTCGAAAAGTAGCAGATATACTTATCAATATGTTAGAGTACTGGCTTACGACAGTGACTGTGTTATATTTCAAAATAGAATATTCAGTAACCACCTCCTTTAGGAATTAAGGTCTAGTCTATAGCTAATTTCGAAAAATGTTTATCTCAATGACATCATTAAAACCAAAACTGTTGGTTAGTTTTCCTCTATAATAATGAAAAATGAGTGAAGACTTACAGCGTTGCGATCTGAGAGACATTTTTAGACTTTAGCCATCGATATGGTAGTTATCCTTTACCTGGTCACTTATCCAAATTTCTGCCGCCTTGTTTGTAGTAATTCAAATGCTGCCCTTACGTAGGTTTGTTGACTTAAGAAAGTTGGAGATCAAATGTATGTTGAATCATACCAATGTGAGTTGCTCATTTACCGCAAATTTCAATGAAAACCACTCACTATCATAAAAGTAGAGCTGGTGTTCTAATTGAATTATCTGCAAGTAAAACTTAGCGAATAAGTCGATGGGAAATCGATGAGAACGAAATTGTGACCAATTCTTCTGCCCCAAGTACCATCGCCAGCTTACACAAATTTTTCACATTTTTAGCACTGAACATGTTTCATGGAAATTTTTCCAATGATTAACCTTACCTACTGCAAGCGTAGACAAAGTTCACTTTTATTAGAAATTATGTACCAGCACTTCAGAATTCTATTCTATATGTCTTTCACACATCAAGAGTATGAGTTTCCTGCTTGCTACTTTCTGTTCATGCAGCTGTTTCAAGCCTGTAACGTTTCTTACGCGCTCCTTAACTCGTAGACGCCTGCCTGAAAAGAAGATACGAAACTCTTGAGCAGAATTTCTGTAAATGTTGCTTTTGAAGTATTTTCCAAAAGATATATTCTTCTACTTATTTTTAAAAAAGGGAATATTCGTTCTGATTTCCTAACAGAAAAAAAATACTATTTTTTTTATCCCAAGAATATCATGGGGTAAAAAGCGGCGTGAAATGAATTCTCTGTTGGTGTGAACCTTCCGATTATGTGTCAAGATGATTTCAAAAGGTTTTTTTAAAGATATTCAGTTGATGACGCCCGTTAGTTTTTCTACGCCAATTCATGGAGTTAATGAAGGAGCATTAAATAATTTCATGAATACTTTATCATACTTTTTGACAAGTAATTAAACATCTCTGTAAGGAAGATTTTAAGTCATCCTCTGCCCAATACTTAATGTTAACTCAGTTCATCTACATCCGAAAAAATATCTCATCGAATTTTTAATTTACTCAAAACTGGTAAACTGCTGAATAGCAGTAAGCTTTCTGACCTGTCAAAGGAGTTCTACCTCTTAAAAAGAATTTATGATAGTTATGTAATTTATTTTTAAAGTTCCTTAAACTGCGATAAAGTAATCGTGAAAATATTTTTAGTATGCTGGAGAATTTTAGTAATTTTTAAAGGTTTCTATTTGCTTGAAAACCTGANGAAGATGGTCATGAAAATTTTGCCAGATTTTTGGTTGATTTGGTATGGAATGACCCAGTAAGCTTTCTGACCTGTCAAAGGAGTTCTACCTCTTAAAAAGAATTTATGATAGTTATGTAATTTATTTTTAAAGTTCCTTAAACTGCGATAAAGTAATCGTGAAAATATTTTTAGTATGCTGGAGAATTTTAGTAATTTTTAAAGGTTTCTATTTGCTTGAAAACCTGAAGCTTGATTCAATAATCTTTAGCATTTACTAAAACAAGTTTACCTATTTTAGCTAAGTTTTTTTTTTTTTTTTTTTTTTTTTCCATTTATCGGGCCTTTAATAAGTTTTAAGAACCCATTATAAAATAAATGAACTACTTTTCTTGTTCAACCACCTCATTGTATGATTTTCCCCCGCAAATTTGCTATTTGTCACGTATGATCACTAAAAATTTTGTTCCTTACAATCGATGGTTCCGGTTAGGAATTGCTGAACTACATTCCAATTGGTAGTTTTTCTAACTCGACCGGGGTACATCTCACTGACATAAGTTTTAATTAAGCATGTTCTTTTAGTTAATTTCTTCTCATTCTTCATGTTTTCTCATGTCCAGTTGGACGTATTTCTATCAAACTGCACTATGCGCATTGTGATGTGAGCCCTGTTATGCACATATTCTTATGGATCTCAGGGCTTATGTCCTAATGTATGTAGTTCCGTTTAATAGAAATACGTCCATTTCATCAAGGTTGATTCTTGAAACTTATGTCAGTATAGCAATATAGTAAAAATCAATATTTTATACAATACAGAGAAGCTATCTCTTTTCCAGAAGATAGCAAAAAATAGTCTCAACGACTGGCCCCTAGACCTACATGAGAGTTAGTCATTAATTTGAATCTGATCCATGCCATGAGCTCATCATCAGTTTATACATATATTATTTTTTTTTTCATTTTAAAAAAATTTCAATCTTTTAATGTAAATCAGTGCAAAAAAAAGTATTCTTTTTTGTGAGATATGACTGAAAGATCAAATTACCTAGTAATTTCGGATTTTGAATGTTCAACAAACTCTTGTTTTCTTATTTGTAAAAATTGTCTCTTTATCTTTTCTTATTTTTAATTGTTAATCTATTTTTGTGGAAAAATATAATTGGTCAATTTTCCAATCACTGCTCTTTTCCTGCCACCTGTACTCATGGATGAAGAATATCATTTTCAGCTCTCATTTGACAAACAGGCCTATACAGAAGGTATGAATGAAGGTACCATGCAACATATTTTCTCTCTCAAATTCAACGAGGCGAATAAATCACACAGCAGTAAGTTTGAAAGTCAACTTCTCAACAAGATTAAAGTTCTAAAAATTAACATTGGTTAAATTGAAAAAATACATTTGACATTATTTGTTTAATCTTTCTTCTATTTAAAATACTTTAAAGATACTCATCAATATCTTGATCAGGAATTAATTTTTAAACTATCCGTTGTGTGAATAGTGCTCTGCTGGAGATTTTGAAGAGGAAACATGTGACACTTTTTTCTGGTTTGGATCAAGTCTTGGGGCCCATTGATCTTAGATATCAAATTCGTTCTTAGACTAGAAATTGTTAACAGCCTCTGCAACTTAGTCCAAGCGATCAACTTGAAAAAAACAAGATCGCAAAACTAGAAACAGAATTTGTCCATAAAAGAAATATCATATTCAATACCAGAAGTGATTGTTGTATCAAATAGTAAATAATTTTCGCAGACAAATCTTAATTTTATTAAGTTGAGTTTTCAATTTTTTTTCCAAATAATTCTTTAGACTCATGCTGAGGGCTACCATTTTTCCCCTAGAAATAAGAAACTGCCCAAATTGTCAACTTTATCCACGTACATAATACATTGCATGTCAGTTTGACCAAAATAGAATTCTCAGACAAATCACGTTGAATGCTGAACTGATCTGAGCAACAGTACCTCACAAGATTTGTTAAGGAACAGTGCTTAATAACAAAATCGCTCATGACGATGATAAAAAAATTGACGATCTAATGAAGATCAAACTTTAGGAGAGATCGAAAATGTATTAAAGATATACCTATTCACAAAGGAGAATGCTCCAAGTATTTTAATAAAAAAGCGTGGAGAATAAAATTATAAAGAACGTAGACGTGAAACAAAATAAGGGATTTAATTCAGAAAGAGATATGCGGTAATTAAAACAATAAACAGAATGTTAATTTATTTGTTGCTACTCTTCACAAGAAAGTCAACCTAAAACTAAATCACTTTTGAATGTGGAATGAGAGAGTACCAAAATACTTTGAGGTACATCATTGCAATAATTTACGAGAAAATTTTAGTGAAAAGAAAAAATTTTGATTGGAGTCAAGAAAAATTGACAAAAAACTAAAAGCATTTAGTTCCTTCGACTGAGGTAGGAGAACGGATACAAACATACAAATCTTAGAACAAAGCTACGTAGGTAGTTAATAGGAGAATAAAAAAAAGATTAGAATTATCTGTTTACAAAAAAACAGTAATTCATGGGTTGCGTAATTCTACAAATTCAATTGCTTGCTAATTGAAATATCACACGAGAAAAAGTAGTAAAACAACACACTAAAATTAAATAAAACGTACAAAAAATGCCACTGAGAGACTCAATGTAAACAGTAAAAACATTTAAAAAGGAGATAATTTACATAAAATAATTCAATGATTTCAATTTGTAATGCTATTGGTGACGAAACCGGGTTGAAGTTCAAAGTTGATTCGGGATCCGATTTCAGTACTAGATTGGACCCTTCCTATTTCACAAGATATTGTGGCCTAAAGCAATTTGAAAATGAGAGAATCACTAGTAGATGTAACAAGTTCAGGAAGTCTTCAGTGAAAGCGCTGACTATGATGGTGTTTTCTTACATGCTTCTGTTGGCGCAACAACACCAGTCAGGTTAAAGTAAAAAAAATTTAAGAGAGGTCTAAAAAACATAAATGTGTGCATGATACCGCTGGGCTATGCATTTCTATCACACACAGCACATAACAAAGTGACAGGTAAGAAGCGTTCATCGAGCCATGGCATCGACAGAAGCACTTAGGACTGGTTAAATTGACTTGTAAGACAGTCTACATGTTAACTGAAATGTCAACGTCCGTAGTAAAAGGGACCTTGGTTCACAAGAGCTCAGAATTAAGTCTTCAGTATCAGATCAAACGGGAGGATTCTACAAACATGTAGCGACAAATCATCGTTTTCGAGAAAAAAGAATGTAACTCCATACCAAAGATGCAAAATTGAATAAAGGAAAACATTTTTGTGCAAAAATATCGCAGCACGTACACAAAATCAGATCAAAAAGTTGCTCATGCTGAAACCTGTACGTCCTTGGATGAACGAAAATAAATTAACTTGCACATAGCTTATTTTTTTAGAATACTCGGCAGTTTTCTAATGAGAACAGAATCCAATTTTTCAACCCAACTTGACAAAAATCGCTCTTAATTTGAAATTGCTCTGAAAATGTTGTGTCTATTGACAAAGACCCTCTCCTGTGGACGGTCACAAGTGATTTCAAATTAGTTCTAAAATTCATAATACACCAAAATAGTGATTTCATTGAAATGAATGCAATTTTTGACGTGAAGACATAGGCTCTTTGCAAGTTATTAAAAGTTCTACGCCTGCACATGGAAAACCCAATCATTAACTACCTCATCTTGTCTACAGGATGCAGTGCTTAGCGGTGGGTAAACACATCATGTTAATATGACACAAATATTCCAAATTTTTCATTTGGAATGATACTGCTTTAATTCCGACATCATTGAAGGCTACATATCCACAAGGAATGTGCAAGATCTTTGAGGGAAGTTTCTCAACTTTATTTGCAGGTCTTGCATGCACAGTCAGATAATACTGGGCATGATCAAAAGAGATAACACTTTCAGTCACAGTAAGTCCACAGATAATAAGTCAAATGTTGGATAAAGATTGCTCATGGAAAGAAAGATCACAAGCGCTCAAATTTTTTTCCAATAAACCCTGCAACACCTGTGGGGGAGGGGGGGATTCGCTCTCAATGCATTTTGATGAAACCCTGACAAGTTTAAATTAACTTCATTTTGGACTCGAGGTCAGAAAATCAGGCAAATTGTTTGAGGAGGAGCCAGGATATTCACAATCTAAATAACTTCCTAACATGCTACTCCATGATGAAAGAATTACTAGTCCTCCCTCCTGACGGATCCTTCGACACCATCCTATCAGGCGCGCACGGTCTAGATTGGTAAACACGCTATGCCTTTCCCTCCCCCTCATTAATTAACTCTGTTCAACAGCTTGACACTATTTCATATTTTACTATTATGACATCTGATGCCGCCTGGTCAGATTCCCGAACTTTAAATGAAACGCAGTGACCACTTGTTTTCGTCGACTCTCTTCCACCATCTTCCTGATCCATTACTATCACCTCTTCATTTCTGCTTGCTTGTAAAAAAGCAATGCATGGTCGTACAGGGTGATCCAAAAGTACCGTACCACCAGCACCACGCAAAACCCATGTAACTTTTGAGCAAACTTAGATGCACTTAAAATTTTGTAAGTGCTCCGAGATCAACGAAAATGACTTTAGGACCCCTAGACATTTCCAGGGAATCTCTCTGAAAAGGGATGATGGATTACAGTATCGACTTTTGAGTCACCCTGAAGATACACAGAAGGAGTTGGTTTCGCTGATCTAGGTGTATTTGAAAGGGGACTTGCTTCAAATCTAAGATTAGCTTCACTATATTTTATTAAGAGCTTTATCAAAATGTACCAAAAGCCACAGGTGTTGCAAAAATTTTTTTCCTTGTGGACATGAAACTTTTCCATCGTACGTTTAATTTAGCTCATCTAAAGAGAGGCAAGTTTGTACCTTTCGAGAGAGTTAAAAAAAGAGGCAAGAATGGAATGTAAACTGGTGTCTTCAATGACTGTAACCTGTACAAAGTTGAGGAAGTATAATGTAACCTCAGGTTTTCAAATGATTACTTAGTATTTAAGTCAACGAGTTTAAAAAACGATTAAAGTATGGTTAGGCATTAATTGCAAATTTTTTTTAAAAGTCCAGTTGTGCGCTTCATTCACTGAGGAAAAGTTTGAACATTCAGTACGTTATTTCCTGGCATGACGTAGTCTCCAATCATGAGACTATTGTTCAACGCAAATTGTGCGTTGCCAACAACGAGTTGATGTGTAGGCTGAAAAAAAAGAAAAATTAGTCAAATTAGTGACGGCTTCTTATGAAACTGGAGAAAATTTTGATCTGATTCTGAGAAAATTTCAAAACTTAAGGGGTTCATTTTGACACAGTTCCAGGCGGCTCAGTGGCGTAATCCTGCCCTGTTGGACAAACTGTTTTGAAGTTTTAAGGTAAAGTGTTTCTTTCTCGTTATCTTTGAGCAGCGATGCTTTTGAATGTCAGTGATACTCAATGAGTTTCCTTAAGGAAGCTCCCTCACTTGAATGGAATTCCATTCAATCATGTATATTTTTGTATGTTCTAAGCCTATATCTATGCGTGTAAAAAAGGATGAATTCATAAGTTAAAAGGGTTTTGTGTGTAAGTAACAACTCAGAGTGTCTAGCGATTCTAAAAAAAAAAAAAAAAAAAAAAAAAAAAAAAAATCCCTGACATTTCCCTGATTTTTCTGACAAAAACTGCAAAAAAAACTGGGAAAAAATTTAAAATTCCTTGACGGACGAAAAATATAATTTCCTGACATTAGGAAAAATATTCCTAATTTTTCGACACGGTTGAACTAATTAGACGTGAGTAAGTTTTTGTTGATGTTTTACAAATATAATGTGATAAATAGAGCCAAATAAATGGTGCCTGAACTTATGAGAGATATTTTTGCCTCATTTTTAAAATTTATAAGACATCAGTAGAAATTCTGGAAGAAATTTTGGTTGAAATCTCCGCAAGTGTAAAATTTGCAAAACATTTTAAAAAAATTCGTGTTTTTCGATTTCCCTGACAAGAATGGATGTACATACTATCAGTCTTGCAATGATAGTGGCAAAGCTCGTGTCAGGCTCTTTTATTTTATGTATTTTTTTTATTTCTTTTCTATTTATTCTCCCCCTTTTTTTCGTTTCTCAGTTGATGCACTTGTACTTAGTGGCAAAACGTCTCCAGTTTTTGTTTGTCTCTTTTTGCAGCTTTAGTCTCATTTAACGACATTTTCTACCTTTACTCACATTCTCGCGGACTTTGGGACACTATTCTTAAGTATAAACAACAATGAAGTTGGACTTACAACTGTGGTAGTGAATATGTTCGGCGAAACACCACCTCCAATCAATTGGGCATGGCCTGTTGATGTAGGATTGCCTGAGAAGACCCGACGGCCAGTACTACTGATTGAACCAGGGTGGATATTTGGTTGCGTCTGATTACCTATATGAAAACAAAAAGAGAAAAGGAAACGAATTTACTTGAGTTCCATAATCAAGCAGTTCTAAAGTCGTAATTTAGAAAAATGAACAAAATGTCTGCAAACACACTGCATGTAAATGTCCAGGTGCGTTTTTGGAATCTCAAGAAATACAGGCTTCATTTATCCCTAACCCTGCATCATTATTCATGGATGACAGAATAATTCAAAACGACTCGATTTTCATAGAAATTCAAAATTCATTATGATAGTTCTTGAAGTTTCCAATGGAAAAAATTCTTGAGATACAACTAAACAACTCATGCACCTGTACATCTCTTCACGATTTAAAGATAATATCAATAATTATAAATTAATGGATATTCGGCCAATTGAAGTAAAAAAAAAACTTTCAAGCCGAAAAAGTAAAATTGAACTGTTCAACTGCACAATTCTTCAAATTTTTCTGTATAATTTCGAATTCTTGCAAGCTAAATTGACGATTCTTGTCTAATTCCTTTTTTAATTTTTAGGAGATAAGAATGTTGAAAATAATTTAAAGTTTGCCAAGTTACTTTGGAGCGAATTTTGACAATAACATTTCATCATAGTTGTTTTGAGTGAATATTGTTTCATTCTATTCTTCGGCTGCATTTACGATCAGTTGATTCAGTGCAGACTAGATCAGATTTGATTAGATGGAGACGCGTTAAATTGCAGTCAAATCAAATCCAGCTGGGGGTGGTATACGAAACATCAAATTCACACAATACATGAGAAAACAGCAACCACCAGCCCATGTCAAGTCTGGTCTCATCTGCGTTTAGAACACTGAGTCACAGCACAAAATTAGACTTGATTTTTAAAATCACCGCTGCGTCCGGATGGAGCGAGTATAAATGCATCAGTTTAACTTTATATGTTCTGTCGCCAGTTTCAAATCTAATTAACTGAGTATAAGAGCAGCTTAAGAGGTAGCCTTCAACAAGGAAAAATTTCAAAATTTGATATTTCAAAGTTTAAAATGATCTACATCATAAAAATTTAAAACTACCTCTGACGTTAAGATATATGAGAATAATTAAAATTAAGAGCTATTATTTCTGTTGATCACCATAAATAGGTGCTTGTATTATCTGAGGTAATTATAAGACCACCTCGACTAATAAGAGCTTTTATTATGAAATGGAAGGAGGAACTTTTTCCGCGTTCTCTTTTGACTTCTGCGACAAGGAACCATTTAATATTTCTTGATCATTTTCAGCAGTTTTTATGACATTTCTTTCTATCAGTGGCTAAACCATGCATTTTGTTTCTGGTGTTTAAAAATTTCTTTCATTTTATCTTATCAGAGCGAAAAAACTGTGCTTCAATGGTTGAAATAATTACAGAACGTTCTCCGAATTGAGATGAAAAAAATCACGAAAACTTTTCAAGAATTGAGTTTATTAATTTTCCACAAAAAAAAAGAAAAAGAAAATATTATACTGCATTGATGCCAACAGACATACATGGGTTTGAGTTTAGTCTCTGTTAAGTTTTTATTATAAATTCACAGTTCCTCAAAGCTACCTTCCTGCTAGCACTGATTTCGAAATTTTCAATATCATCGACCGATCAGATCATTCAGGGATAATTAAGAGGTTTTCGATGAAAAATAGTTGACTTCTCAAAATTATTTAACTTGCTTTTCTTCAACTCATGTGGTCAATTCACTGAATATGAACAACCACCAAAAATAGTGACACCTATTTATCGGTTCATTACATTCTGCAAGGATAATTTAACAGAAAAAGTACTGAAAATCTTTGAAGGGCAGCGTAATTGTACGAGAATCCATTGCTGAAACAAGACTTCATTCTTTCATTGATCAATAGCCTGTGTCACACTATCAAAACTAGCCGTCCAAATCTCAAGGTCAGGTGATGTGATTGGCTTATTCGATGACTTGGACCAATCACAGCACTTAACCTTAATTTTGATAGTGTGACACAGGTTTATCGATGGCAATTCTTGGAAGTTGGCAATACTGTTTTTTCTCCATTTAAATGTATGTAAACCAATCCATTCTTTGTGAGGAAGCTTGCCTCACCTGAAATCGATGTATTAAATTGATTCAAATGGGAGAAAAACAGTACTGCCAGCTTGCAAAATAGCTACAGTGATCGATGGGTTAATCATGCCTGTTTGAAATTCAAAAAATTTCTCTGTGTTGTAGGTTAATAAAATTGAGGATCAATAAGGAGAATCATAGAAACGGACAAACAAGAGGGTTGATGGGAGGAAAGATATAGAAATCACAAATTTTTGATTCAGGTCTATTTGATTGATTCTTTCGGAACAAAGTAAAAAAGCAATTTACAGCGAATAAAAGTATAAAAAACATTCCGCTTTAAAACAAGGAGGTAAAAGCAATACGTAGGATTGGCAGAATGCAGAGATTATTAATGCTAAAAAATAATAATAATAAAAACGGAATTCCTTGAATGTAAAAGAAACAAGGGGAATTTTTTACTGCAATCTGCCATCCACGCAAATGATGGATACAAGAGAACGCAAATTTTGCCTTTTATTTAAAACACCGCATCATATCGACATCAAACAGAAGAGTAAAATCATGCAGTACACCTATTTCTGAGCAGAATTCAAAGACTTTAGAGCTGGCAGTTTCCTAAAATCAGTAGCTCAAAACTTTTTCGCCAGAAAAATTTACTAACTTGGCAATTCTTGAGGAGAATAATCTGATTGATAGTTTTTGACAAACATGATTTTTCATAGGACAGGTATGCCCGGCACTTGGAAAAATTGTCTCACCCTAAAGATTGCTTGGCAAGTCTGACAATGGGATAGATGAGACTCTGTGAGTAATTTTGCACTCTCTCCCAAAAAAGGCAGCGTACAGAAATTGAATCGGTCAGTTACAAAAGGGCTTAAGCGCCAGACATAAAGATAAGAAAAAAACAGTGGAAAATGTATAAACCAACCCGTTTTAAATTGCAGATTAATTAATTCATCACTTAAATATTTTAGAGCTCTGAGATGTATAAGGGGTCCATTAAAACGGTTACTACCATTTTTTTCGAATTCTCATTTTTGGCACTTGAGCCCTTTTGTGATTGACCGATTCAATTATAGGGATTCTCACTTGATGTTACAAGGACAAGATAGTGTAAATTCTGTACACAGCAAACTATTTCTACTTGCAGAAAATTCCTAACAGAGAGGCTTTTTCAGGGGCCATTTTAGACCTCAATCAACACTGAAAGCCTCTCTACAGCAGTCTCTTTAAACAATTGATACCTACCACAGGGTATCAGGCAAAGATGAAGGTCCTCACTTTTAGAGAATACCTTATACTGAAGAAAAAATGTTGTTAAAGAGGCAAGATAATAAACTGAACTTAAAGTGAAATACACTAAAAATAAGTGCAGGGAAAGGCCATTTCTTTGAATTCTGCAAAACTGATTTTGAGAAGGCTGTGTGCTGTCTTCCTTCTTATGGAAAATTACACAGATGTAAAGAAAAACTTTTCACATCAAAACCCAATATTGAGCATTTCAAAGTAACTGAGCCAACTATCAAAAATATTTTAACCTTACGTTGAGAAATCACATAACATTTAGGAGGGAAAACTCTGAGTATTATTGTGACTAAGAAAGAAAAACATCTTCATTTGACTAGGCAAACTCCCTGCGTTTTGGATATTAGTATTGGGGAGTATATTGAAGAATTCTAATGACAGGACAAGTTTGAAATGTAAATACGGGCGGAATATTTGAGATGAAATCTGCATTGAAGGATCAACTGATCCATTAACAAGTTATATTACGCTAAAATAATTTAAATGACCTTTACTTCTTGCGCTTAAAGCTATCTACAGAGATCCAAAAATATTAAAATCATGTATTGTATCATTGATGAAGAGATGAGTTGAGCTGAAAAATCTAATATCTGGGTTTTCATTGTCTACATTTACACTTTTCACAGGGAAATAGTGGTAACATAAGGCTCTCCTGTCTTCCTTTTACGTTTATTTAGTGGCTACATCATACAATCTTTCGCCATTAAAGTGTGCTGCCAAAATGCAGCCAAGCGATCAATATCAAAACAGTCCTTCTGAGTGGAACCACCGAATATATTGGATATTGAATGACATAGTTACTCAATCAGTTTATTGACCTCAATACTTTTTCCAACACTTTCGAGAAGTACTGAAGTAGACAAAGATAAAATCAGAGCAGAATGGGATAAAGGCTCAAAGAACGAATACTCATAAGCTATCAATGATTCACTAAAGCCAGTAAAAAAATAGTACGGTTTCTGGTAACATTATTGCATCATCAAGTTCTGACGTTTACGACCTGATAAATTCAAGGTATATCCTGGTTCCAGGAAAACTAACTACTGTCGAAAATTACTGATAAATTGTATTACGGTTATATCATTCAGAAAAAAAGTAAAACTTGATTACTTTATTTAAACTACTGGAAGCGTATTTCTTCTAAGTAATTAAAGCCTGATCAGTTAATGAAACTTCCTGTATTGCATCTGAATATTGCATGACAGGACTGAAAGGTTAAGTAATTATTCTACTTCTCTCCTATTAGAGGAAAGTAAAAGGAATTGGAAAAAAAAAGAGAAAAAAATTATCAGATTTGAAACTAAACATACTTGCTTTCAGCTGATACTGAAAGGGTGAAAGAGCTCACAATTTTCAAGCATTTCTGAGAAATTTAAATTTCACTGGTATTAAGTGCTTAAAGTGCAAAATCTTGTACCTCCACTGCAATTTTGGATATTTCCTCTAGTACTGTTCACTCGTGATGGATAGTAACAAAAATCACGGCTTGAAACTTACGAGGGGATTCAAGTAAGATGAGTGATATGGACCTTTACTCAAGGTAGAAAGGAGGGGTGTCGAAAAGGGCTGTTCTCAGGCCCACCCTGATTTTTTTTTAACTCGACAATTTATTGCTCATTGAAGGTATATATTTTACGGAGTTTATCATGATTTGGTAATTTTTTGTCTCTTTTCCAGTCTAATACTGGTCTAGAGCTGGGTCAGAAGGCAGATTTCAACGGAAAATGCGAGTTTTGAGGGTTTGCAGTCGAATGCCGAAAAATCCGCATTTTTTGCCACAATCGGCCTTAAGACTCATGTTTAGGTATTAGACCCGAAAAGAAACCAAAAATGACAAAATCATTCCGTACAAAGTAGACTTCTAATGAGCAAGGGATCGATGAGTTCAAGAAATTCTGAATGAGCCCAAAAAAAGTCCTTATCGATACCCCTCCTTTCTTGTGGAGCACAATTCGCATGCAATGCATTGCAAATTGCTGAAATCAACGCCATACGAACATATTAACAAGTACATTATAACATTGGCTGCAAAAAATTTGAATTTTCTGCTCACAAGAAAAACGACGGTCTACATGAATAAAATCGCGCACTACATTGCTTTGGGCAGGCTTCTTACTCTTTTTGCAAAAAAGGCTGACAGAATCGTTCATCACAAAATGAACACTATGCATGCAGCCAGCTGCTCATCAGGAACTCCTTTATAAGTGGTCTGTTGGAACCTCTGAGATGTATTTTAGTTCTTAAGGGGCAGACCTTTATTCCAAATTTTGACTCGACAAAAAATTGACAACAGCTTGAGCAAAGGGAACGCAAGATTGGAGAAACTTATTTTTTTGCAGAATCTTTGAAATATTTCATGTTAAACTAAGACAACTCCAAACGCAACTCATGGTTGCTTTTACTGGAGATGATTAACGAGAAATTCTGTATTTTTAAATTGCATCAAAGTGACTAAAGTTGATAGTTAGCGACTGCTTATGCATCAGTTGCTATTCCTAGGAAAGAAAAATATCAATTGAATGTTGCGATGCAGGTACATGATTTCTGCACAAACGCCATTTTTAGATTTTACAAAAGTAGTATTTTAACTGCTACTTCTTCTCTTTCATCATTGTACTGGCCGAGGCCTTTGGATTAAAAGAAATGTCACAATGTTCAAGACAAGGAATAGCTTGAAGGAAGAGAGAAAGTCACGTAAGAAACTGAACATTGACACACAAAGAACGAAGAAAGAGGATGGAAGAGCGTCTCCACCGCAGACGAGATTAATACTGACGATCATGGCAGGAGTATTCTGAAACAGAAGTAGAAACCGGAGCTCTTTCAAACGAAACAACACGAGCGAAATCTAGAGATTGAGAACTTGAAAGTTTTGGAAGAGACGGTAGTAAAAATCTAGCCTGGGGGAAATTTTCTGGTTGGAGATAGGCAGGGTTTTACGACTACAGCTCAATGAACACAGGGTTGGGAGGTCAAAGCGTATTTTTCCAATGAAATAGTCGTTTCTGGCTCGACAGCCAGATATTCGGAATATAAGATATCCAAAAATTACAAAAATTTGAGGGTTTCCTTCGTGGTAAGGCTCGTGACACAGCCCCTGAAACAAGCCTAGACTTCCTCCTAAAAATTGCATAAAACTGCCATCAACCCTTTCCCTCCTGTTACAGAGAAAAAAGTGGAGTTTTACTGGGAATTTTGAAACAAATTTACTCTATATTAATGATAGTGTATCCCGAATTACGGTTTCCCCACCGAATTTGCACAAAACGCATGGAAAACCTCATTTTTTTTCCAACGTTTGTTGGTATGAAGAACTCTAAAATTACAGCAAAGAATTGTTGCCTTCCCTATTGCCTTGTCTGCAGTATTTTTCAGAATTCCACAAGGATTTCATTTCGGGTTTGATTGCTGGAATGTTTTTCTGGAGATTTTAACTTCCATCCGATCGCGCTTTTCTTTCACCACCAATTTTACATATGATTTATGGACAGCCTAATGTTTTTCTCCAAGTTCGCCTATCTTTGAGAGAGGAAATCGACAATTTCAGCATTGTAGCAATGATATAAAGAAACTTGTACCCACTTACTACAAAGGGTAGCTCTTTTTTTTTGTAGAGAAGTTGCAGTAATAAATTGGCATAGGAAACTTTGCATTCTACCCTATACAAAGAAAAAAAAATAAATAAAATTACCTTAAATGAGCATTAATTTCTAACCCGTGAGGAGTAGTATTTTATGAACATATGAAATTCAGGGAAAGAACATAGTTCAAACAAGAATAACAACTTATGAAGAATGGCATTCCTCTTGCACTGTTTCACAGTTAAAAACTGCTCTTTTCAATGGGAAGAATCAGTCAATTTAGAAAAACTTTTGATTGCATCATCCACAGGATCGTGTATATTGAGCCAACAGATTCGTTGCCGATAGAACACTTTTTTAATTAAAATAAGGCAGTTCCGCACATTCCCCGGTGCAGCTCTTTGCGCCCACCCACCCTTGGTAGAATTATGAAGTAACCGATTTCCATCATCAAGCAATGAATATTAAACTACTTCTTTCGGACTTTTTTTCTTACTTTCCTTAGCCCTCACAGTAGACTCTTGAGAAGAATTTAAAATTTCTATCTTAAAAATTCAAATACTGAAAAATAGCATTTTTGCTATTCCTGCTGGGATTCAGTGTCTTCATTTGCTCTGCATTTTGCAATTTGGAACAATAAATTTTGGCTCGTCTGGAAAAACACTTATGTGCATAGGGAAACTAATGGCACATACGTTGTTTTTAAACCAGGCTAGAATTTATAGTTCCAAATTGCAAAATGTAGTCCATTTGCTCTCAATTACATTGATGAAATTTTCCACGTTCATGCCAGTTTTCGTTTTTGTAAAAAAAAAGCAGTACAACAGCAAAGAGGGTTCAATTAAAAAAGCTGCAGGATGACTTGCTTAAACTGGCTGAAACTTTGAAAAAGAGGAACGACAGAAAAGGATGGTGAACAGTGAGATTGCTAGTTTTATAGACCATAGTATGATCCCTGAAGGTAAACACTGATGACAGGAAGAGAGGGAATAATGGCTAAAGATGAATGAGTATGAGAATTTATGAAAAATGAAGGATATAGACATGAGATTATTTTGAATCATATTTATGCCAGGAAAACAAAACACATTCATGATCGATAGCTTTCCTGGATACCATTATGAAGTTTTTTGGTTTTTTTTTAAAAAAAACTTAACACTTCAGTATGGACAGTGTTTAGCAAAAGGAAAATGAAAGATGTCAACTTGAAATGGGGGAAAATGGATCAAAAGTTTTATCCCTCTAAGAGGCTCCGCGTAAAAGTCTAATTTTAGTGCATTAGATATTATTAACAGGCAAAGGATTTTCTGGAGAGAAAATTTTAAAAAATGGACTAGATCTTGTAAGTACTCCTTTAATAAAACACTGCATGGGGCAGAGGGACGGGTTGAGGTGATTTTCTCATCCAATTTAAAAAAAATCTGATCCAGGCAAACACTTCTTCGGGATGAGTGATGGTGAATATTCTGAGCTTCAACAACTTTCCATCTCTTACAGCAGACAAATGAATTTCAACAAGCCATGTTCTGGTACTGGATCATTGCTACATTCATCACGAGTAAGATTCATTTATTCTATCATGGGCGTCAATACTAATGAGAAGCGTACTTCCAACACACAACTCACTTAAGGTTTTAATTTTTCTATTTACTGTCTCAAGGTTACATTGAGTCTATCGTAAGATTTTCAACACATCTTGTATAGTTACAGTTCATTTTCATACTTGCTTCACTACAAAAAATATGCTTCAGTAGAGCACTTGAGAAAGATAATGAATAATTTCACTCATAAAAGTGTATTTTGTCACTTAATAATTCGAGAGAGTCTTATAAACTTGTCCAATTGTGAGCAAGCCCAAAAAATATATTTCGCACAACCTATAGTAATTGATGGATAAATAATTGTTTAAAAAAATATTGGGGTAACCTACTGGCATAAATTACGGCAATACCAAGATATTTTTCAAAGAGAATGAAAAATAAATAATTTAAAGGTGAAAATGGAAACTGAGGAAATTAAAAAAAAAAAAAAAAAAAAAAAAACCTCCTTGTAAATAATTCTAGACTGACTTTTCATTTTTTAGAAAGGTTGTTAACTATGTTAATTTTAGGATGGGAGGATCTACTTCCTTTGCATTAGCAACATCAAAAAAACATCGCATCCTAAAAAATCATGGCCACAATGAACAATGCGCAATGCAAACAAATTTCGCTTTTACGCCTCCTCCTTGTCCCATACTCTGTTTTGTATTGTACCTATTACCATTAGATTGCTATTGCCTCTACCCTTTTTCTTCCTTCTTCCTAGTTTTCTTTCCTCCCACTTCTCTATTCGTCATAAACGCTGCATAGCTACTCTCCTCTTCCTCCGCGTACAAAAGCTTCACTCTTTACTCGCGGACTGAATTAAGAAATGGTTAAGAGGAAATGCCTTTAAGCGTGCATTAAATTCATCGTTGATAAAAAGTTTAAGTACAAGTATAAGTATAAAAAACAGAGATTCTGATTTATTTTTTAAAGTTATTCAAACTGCTGCTTTTTGGAAAATCAAAGATTCAAAACATGGCATTCATTTTTCGCAGTTTTAGAAATTTTCAATGTACCGAAAAAATCAATCAAAGTCAACATGGGAGGAATTTCTGGTTTACTCCGAGCGATATATGGTTATTCTGTACAAGAAGTTCAAGAGATATGTACAATGAGAAAGTGGTAGAAAAAGACAGATAACTTAGCATTCACAGTGAGAGTCATTTGAGTACTCACCGCTTATATTAAAGACGTTTTGATTGTACAGACCGTCCATTGCCACATCATTTACATTTAGACCATTAACAGGAATACTATTCACAACATTCAATGCTGAAAAAAATCAAAATTCTGAATTAGTCCTTGGTTTTACTATTTTTCAAACTCTAATTAAATGAAAAATTTCTTTTTTTTTTAAAAAAAAAAAAAAACCTCTAAAATTAAAGACTCATCTCTTATTATCTGCCTATCTTATCTATTTTAGATTTAGTGTACTTTTTTTGGTAATTGCTATCATATTACTTATGTGGATTGGGGCTAATCAGGTAGAACATCCTTTTTATTTAGAAGGACAGTCACTGCCTTTTTGTTTTCTTTTTATATCTATACTTATCTTGTAGGTTTTTGGGATTTTTTACTTAACTAAAATAAATTAAATCTTGATAAATCTCAATGATATCTTGAAAATATTATTTAGATTAAGTTACCTTTGATTTTGTTTTGAATTTTAGAGTCTTAAAGAGTCTTTAGAGGCTTTAAAAAAACAGTACTAAAATGCTAAAATGGAATTCTGTAAGCGTTCAAAGGGACTTTTATTTGAAGACCAAATGGAAAGTAAGCAATAAGTATCATGGAGTTTTGCCTAAGGGCCAATTATTGAAAGTTTAAAGCGGCCTCACAAAACATCGAAATGCAATACATTTCATAGTTAAAACAGGGCTGCATCTTGTCTCGTCATCCGAATGTAGTTGCGATGATCCATTGGACTAAGGAGGCTTCCAATTTGCATCAAAGGAAGGGCTTACGTCAAAATCTTTTCAGACAATTCAAAGGAAAATTTTGAGGTATGAATAAAATAAGAGCTAAAAAAGTTGCGTTAGTTTGTGATACAATGGTTCCTGTGTAATAAATTAGGAGTTAAATGCTATTGACATGACTTTAAACACCAATACTCACAAATTTTCATTTGCTACGTGGAACGAGGAATACATTGATACTGTACAAATTGATAGTAAAAGTCACAAAACAAGTACCTTGATTTACTACGCCGCACATTATGTTTCATATTTTACCTCTTCAAAAGAAAACCAACAAAAATTTTTGCTAGAAGAACCTATTTACTTTTCCCTTTTTCATACTGTGTAAATTGTTTGGTGAAAATTTCAGACAACAAAATTCTTTGGTTTTAATTCAGTACAATAAAACAGCTGTGATTTTGAAATGTTGCAACAAAGTTTCATTTTTTGTGACTTAAACCATTGAAATGCAATATGCACTACATAAGCATAGGCAACTCATTCACCATTCATAATGAGTTTCAACAACCAGTTTGCCCTCTCTTTATCGTTCAAGCAACTCTTTTACCCTCTACCTATCTTCGAGATAATTGAAGGAACTTTAACGACCGAAATTTCAAAATTAAACCAAAAGACAATTTTTCTCTCTTCAAAGAATTTAAGCAACTCCTTTCCTTTAGGTATCTCTAAGTTTTAACAATAATTCTCCTCTCGTTGAATATGTGGCTACTTTTCAATTTCTTCTTCTTCCTTTAAGTAACTTTTTCACCCTTTTTTTTTGGGGGGGGGGGGGGGGGGGTGAAAAATTGCTTCATCTTCTCCAGTAAATTTAAATGAAACAATCAGATGATATGATTAGCCTTGTAAACTCATATACACGTCAGAGAAAGGCAGTGAAAAAAACTGCCTCCTGATATGAAAGATCACTGTTGGCACTTAAAACTCCACTGATAAATTCTCAGTGGTGCCCAATTGATAATATTTGGGAAAACATGAAAAAATTAAAAAGTCAAGCACCACTTAAGAAATGAGATTCTCACCATTTCTGGCACCTTGCTGATCGAGATGTGACCAATAGGCTTCACTAGGAGATACTGTGTTGATACTAGGTGGAGGTGCGACAGGTTGGCCCGTATACCTGAAGTATGGATTTTTTAGATCTAAAGTATTTGAAGACACGCCAGATGAAGAGCCTTCAATTATTAGTTCAATAGTCACGTCATAACTTTGCCTGTCAATCAGAGAATAAGCAATCAAAGAATGAAACTGAAAATGGGTGCAGAAAGCTAAAATGTAAAACAGATTAAGCCATAAAATGTTGGTAGTTGAGGGGAATCGGTTTTTTTGTCTCCTCCTCTCTTTTGACCAGGGCCAGAGCCGTGTTTTTCCATAGTGTTCATAAGGTCGTAATGAAAATGGGAGAGCTGGCGCCACTTTTAAGCATTTTCTAGGTTTCGAATTCTGTTACTCTTGTGTCACACTGGGTCACTTTTATGACAGTTTTCGATACACGGGGACCCGATCATCCAATGTAAACAAAAAGTATAAGTATGAATTATGACGTATTCTACATCCCCATTTTGGATTAAGAATGTATCGAAAGGGTGATCGAATCTCGGCGCATATCGCGCTTGGCACTCGTCAATCAGAATATGGCCTGAGCTCACTACCTTATATTACAACTCTATGTACTCTATGTGTTTGTCTCGCCTCTTTTCTAAGGAGTCGATAATCTTCACATTTAAGAACTTTGATAATACAATAGCAGGTTTTCTACAATTTCTTTCTCTAAGCTAAGAACGAAATTTTCATTAAAATGGTTTTCTGATAATTACGCTGACTTCTGAGAAACACTATTCGCAAAATTTTCCGACTTTACAGGTTTTCTACGCGGCCGGAAATTTTAAAAACGTTCTGGTCAACCCTGAATAATTTGTCAATCAACAAGAGGATTTGAAAACTAGTGTAATGTCTTACAATCAAACTTCTTACTGACAGAAATAGAATTAATTACCTGTGATTAGCTTCAAGCACGACTTTTCCGACTAAAAGTTGTCCCGCTTTTGCTAGGATAGGAGTTTCTAAAAGACACCGCACTTGATACCAATGCGTTAAAGCTTCTGTGGGCGAGGTCGATAACCATACTGTGTACGCTGATCCAATAAATGCTACATCAAACCAAAATGCTAGACCATGGACAGTCCCTGACTCCAACATGTGAAATTCGAGAGGTATTTCTAGAAAGAAAAAAAAAAAGAGGTAAACAGTATTAAAAAAAATCGCAGTTACTAAAATTTTCTGTCTGATCTGTCAGGAGGGCAACTGCAAATGGGTTTTGGGTTTTGTAGATAGTGTTGGATTTTTTAGACCTAGTGCTCTCATTTTCTGAATAAATTAGAAAATTAATTTTCCTCATGTGGAGAGGCAACTGATTTTCTGTCATAATTTTTAGATCACTAGCTGTTGGCTCAAAAAGCCAATAAAATCTATTTTATCTGGGCTTGCAAACAGCACCATTTTGTAAGCTTTAGGAGAAAAGAGGTAGATATTAGGTTACTTTACAATTGGGAGGACTACGAAATTGCAAAACACTAATTAACCAATAAACTGAGGCCCTAGAAAAGACGCTGACTGTTAAAAACTGAAATTTTTAAATAAAAAACTATGTTACAACCCCAAAAAAATTCCTTGCCACTCACTCAATATTTGGAAATCTCTCCAATTCTCTTTTCCTTATCTGCAAATATAAAATTAAAATGAATTGTGACAGAAAAAGCTGCAAGGCTAACTCTCTAACTAGATTTAGCATTTTCTGAGATTTTCTTCTTTATTCACTCAGAAACGCCATGCATGTGCATTTGTTTCATGATACCACAAAATCTTACCTATTCGGTGAAGATCTTTTTCATTGGCTGCTAGGAAATCTATAGAGTGCTTGATGGATTTTGCAGTGCAAATCCTAATATCAAATGTATCCACGACAGGCTGCCTAAAATATTCTTTCACTGCTGCGTCTCTCATAGAGCTTAAATCTACACCGTGGAAACAAGTTTGTAACCTGAAAGGCAAAATAAAACGGTTATACAACAAAGAAAATCATGGACATTTAAGCATAAGAGCTTCAGAGGAAAAGTCAACCTCTAGGTCATTGATACTCAAACATGAAATGACTGTTAACAGATAAACAATGAGTACTGGACACTTAAAACTGGGTTTAAGTTTAGCAACAATAGATAGGCGACACCAGTCCTTGAGTCATAGATTCGAGACATTATTTTCTGATTGGCAAATCCATCTATGGGATGGATTTGCAGACTCTATCTCTGTGGCTCGATCGGCTCCTATCACTAATCAGTAATACCAAATATACCAGCAGTGGTTCTATTGGTTGTGACATCTAATTATTATTAATTGTGCTTCTAATTATTTTTTAAAAAAAAACCTTCGAGTTAATGGGGCATATGAATTCATTTACGATTCACCTTCAGAGTTGTGGGAAGGTTTTTGAATAATGTTTCTACATATTAGTGATATGTTCTTAGTGTGTTTAAGTCTTTTGAGGAATACTTCAGTTTCTTGCTCTAAAAGCTCTTAGCAGAAACCAAGCGAGAAACAGGAGGGATATCAGGGTGTCTACCAGCTGGAAAAAACAATAGTCTGGGACATTTGGGGATTTTTTTCATGAAAATTGAGGACATTTCTACCAAAATAGATAAGAGAACAGCTGCGAGAGAGAGCGACATAAAATGGAATATAGATAAAAACTTCGGCGAGAGCAAAAACCTCGACACCGAGCTCCCGAAGTTTCAGACCTTTCCCGCCGAAAGACGCCACCGGGGGTTCGAATTTCTGCCGCCTCGCTCGCAACTGTTGCACCGCGAAAATTTGAAATTTCCCACAGATAATTCTTGTCAGTTTTTGCGGACCTGTACAGGAGAATCATGGACACCTTTCCAGAATTGGGGCTAATCAGGGACTGGTGGACACCCTGGATATACAAAAGAGGGTTCAGCCACCACTATGAGCACTCCTTTTTGGAGAAGGGTTTCACTATTGCGAGGTGAAAATATAAATATCCGACTCACCAAAAACTAGCTTTGTTAACTTGCTCCATGTACAAGGCTTCGTCAGAGAATGGAGCCACATGAAGATCACCTTTGGAGGGAAACATTAGACCTGTAATCAAATACACTTTCTTTACTTCTTCGTTTTAATATTAACACTATAAGGTAATTAGACAAGATCAATACTGACATTCAGAGGAGAAAAAGTTTGGCCACACAACAATACAAAACAAGCATAGATGGGGAAAATAAATAAGAAAAACTTCTGGAGCAAGTCAAAATCTGAATTCAAAAATAATTAAATACTGCACATACCAACACCCGGAATCAGAAAAACATTGGTGAGCCAACTTTTAAAGCGTCACAAAAGACCTGTCATTTCCAAATCGCATTATATAAAAGCAAAGAGCAAGACGACGAATCTATAGTTCGTGTTCAAGAAATTGGTCAAGTAATTAGGCATTTGCTTTGCAAATGCTAATGATGCTAAGCCGTCAAAATGGAGATTTGTAGTAATTAAAGTCTATTGAGTGACAAGTGATTTCAATGTACTAATTTTCGGTGGAATCACGTGATGCAAGAAACGCATATTGGATGAATTGAAGACTTGTTACTGATCTCATTATAAGTTTGAGTGCTAATCATATGAATAATGTCAGCTGCATCCAAAAACTAGGAAAGTTTTAAACTAAAGAAGGAATTACTATCAGCAGGCCAAAGAAGAAGACTAACGCATAACGATTTCTTGATGCATGGTGTTAATAGTCAAAGAAATTAATTTGATAATGTTACGAAGAGAAAAAGAAAATAAGCATCAAAACTGCACAAAATATATTACCGCCAGGTTTGAGCCATTTTTTTGCATGTAGAAATGTTTCCAACATCCGCTCATTGTACAACATATAGCCCATTGGCTCCGAGATAATAATGTCTACCATTTCAGGCAGGTCAATTTCTTCAACTTTCCCTGCGATTACTGTGATTTTGTCTTTCATATTATTTGAGCTAACCAGGGTCTGGAATAAAGAAAGAGGAAGAATAATATTAATACAAAGGGTTTATCAAGAAAAATCGAAGATGTTTTGGCAAGTAATTTTTTTAATTTTTTTAAGACCGAGTTTTGTGGCGATTAGGCGTCGCACAGCGCCAAAGAGCGCTATAAAAGCGACTTATGTATGTATTTTCTTAGCTAGCAAAAGGAAATTTTTAGATACTTTAACAGCTGGAACATTAGGGGAAAAACTTGTACAAAAGTGCTACAATTGGTAGGAATTAAAATGACCTTGATGAGCAAGACCTTTTCCTGCATGTTACAGTTAAAGTAAATCCAAAGGAAATAATTCCATACACCATCGTCACTTAACATGTAACTAATGATACGTTTCTCTTGCATTATTTTGAAAAAATTAGGAGGTAGGTCAAGGTCAATGCCTCATAAGGGTGTGATAAAATGTTGATGTTTATAAGTGCTTTTAAGGAGCAGTGCCGTTTATCTGCAAACTGATTATTTTGCAGGACAAAGTAAATACTTCACCATATTTTTCATTTTTAAGTTTGATTTGTAATTCTTTTTACACACTACAGCATCATTACTGCACTCCCATGCAATATTGAAGAAACAAAGACATTCGCTTGCGTATTTTATACTGTAAAATGCAGCAAAGTTGTTAACTCATTTTTGCCGAAATTGTCAGTTAGGCTGTACTGTTCCCATTCCCTCCTTTTGAGACTCCTTCAGAAATAAAAATTAAATCCATGAATTAGCAAGGAATTGGAACTTACAGATGCATGTTGAACCATAGAACTGGCTTCAACAGCGTACACTTTCTTAGCACCTGCTTGAACGGAGAAAAATGAGAGGATACCAGATCCTGCTCCCACATCCAGAACAACTTTGTCTTTGAAATCGTTATTGTTGACAAAGACAGCTCTTTGGTATGTGCTTGTTCTGACATAATCTTGCAACATGTTTTGCTGCTGAGATAAATATCCATAGAACTAAAAACAAACCAAAAAACAGATCATCAGAATTAAGTGAGTTAACAGAAGTGCAGGAACTTTTCAAGCATGTAACCGACTCGGATTCTGGCCGCTTTGCAAAAAATGGAGGCGTTGCCTTTTAAAAATAGGTAAAAAAGGGGGAAGGCTATCAACAGGGTTACCACAGAATTTAGAAAATGAAATTCCCTGAAATTTCCTTGATTTCCCTGACATATTTTGGTGAAATTCCCTGACAATTGAAGATGTGACGGATGGTTAAGAAGGATTGATTGAAAATTTTTCAGGCAACATTTGTTGTTCGAAAGCTCAAACCTATTCTGGAAAGCAAATGAAGGTGACGATTATGCAAATTTTCCCTAACATTTCCCAGTTTACCCTGACTTTTTAAAATTCCCTGACGTTTCCCGGTTTTCCCTGACTGTGGCAAACCTGCATCAGATTTTTTGTACATTTTTTTTTCAGAAAAATGGCTAGTCAACAGAAGAAGATTCCTGTTTCTGGGAGTAAGAAGCTCTTTTTCTTCTGTCTCCAGGAGGAACTGCTAATGAGTTTCGGTTAAAGAGGGGAGAAGACCAATTGAATTCAGGGAAGGCTTGCAACTTCCTCTAACCCCATGAGTAGATGTGAGGTAAACAAAATTTCTTCGTACAATGACTGGGGTTTAAAAAATTAAAAACGACAGTCGGACTTAAACTACCTGGAAGTATTGAGCTGCGGAGGAGTCATCGGTTCGTTCGCTGAACACGGATGAATTTTGCCCGATTTTAACTTTTGTGACGATAGAGTGAAATTTCTTCTGATCTGTAAAAGGAAAATAAGATGAGATTTACTAATGTAACAACTTAAAGGAAGGAAAATGAAGGGGGAAAATAGACAAAGAAGTCGGCAAACTTTGAAAATAAGTTGCCCTCTTCATCTTCCTGCACAACTCTTGGCACTTTCATGATTTGATTTTGAAAAAATTACCTGTGAAAATTTCAAAAAATTGTTTCACAGAAACAGCTATGCTGAGAAAAAACACCATTTAAACATTCTAACACGGTCAAATTTCTCCTAATAAAATATCCATTTCCAGAAAAATGGGAATTTATTTTCACTGGCCTTTTCAAAGAATTTTTTTGCTCATTTAATTCAGAGAAAAATATGCTTTGATCCATTATGTAATTTTGATCAAGCACAGTTGAATACAGTGGTTTACATAACATCTTTGACATCTCACCTAAAACACTTCCATAGTGATATGATGTTCTGTCTTGGCACAACGATGTCTTTTGCAGCAAAATAAATTAAGTTTGTTACCATACTGTTACCTCTAATAGCAACACAGAATTTCTCCTTCAGTTGGCACATCCAGTTCCTAAAGGAAATATTTTTGATAAAATCTTTATACATTTCTCCTTTTGAAACTCAACAATATGAAAGCATGCATTATGTTACTGGAAAATCCTTAATTTTACCTTCATCAGATTGAAATTCGAAGAGTAGACTTTCGCCATCGAGGGAGAATATGTAACTATTTGAGCCCACTCTTGCACACTCTGTTAGCTTGCTGACTGGAAATTCAGTTACGACATTTCCCCGGTTGTCCAAGCCTGAAATAAGGAGAGATCATGAAAAAATTAAGATATATATTGTGGAGCATAAAATACTTCGTGCAGGATAAAACATTTAGACAGCAAATAATTGCTAAATCTCTAACTAAAGAATAACGTCAGAAATGGATTATGTTCCAAGATAAATTGTTAAACATAGGTAGGTAGTGCATCACTTCATTCCATTGTTGCCTAACTACCATGCATGATAATAAACCAGCATCATAGACTTCAAAGCTGCTGAGGTTTATTCTACCTTTCAAACTGTTGATGCTTTTCTTGTGAAGCCTATGAAAAATACACTTTTCAGGTACTGAAAAAATAGTTTTTAAAAAAGCGGCCTTGACCATCATTAAGAAGTGATGCTGTTCTTCCACTTTTAGTGTACCTTTGCATATGAAATTAATTTTATCAAGAGTTTGCATTAGATATTGAAACATGCTGAAATTTGGAATTATAGACCCCTCCCCCTCTCTCTATTTAATTCATTACATGGGCCTCTGCTCCCCTGAAAAATAACATTACATTCCATTCGATACCCAACTTTCAGTGTAGAAATTTATCATTTTATGCCAATATTTATACCACCATTATTGAAATGACATATGCCGCAATCACACGCTGAATTTAGCAGCTGAATGTGGAAGTCAACAGTCATCGCCCAACGGCTGAAATTTTGTGAATTCGAGTTATTTTCATCCAGATGTGTATTAAATCTACTCGACTAGTTCAAACAAATTCAAAATTGGTCCGAAAAGCACCAGAAACTATACATCCATGCACTTCTACCCCCCAGCCATCAACTATACGTCTAGGCGTAGTGCAAAACACCACACAATTGGGCATCATAGTCGGCTAGGAGTGAGCGACTGGACCACGTATAATTAGTATAGTTCATTAGACGCTACCAATGCACCCATGGGTAAGGATATCATACGATTCTACGAGTAATCTACAGAGTTTGCTACGACAGCATTCTTCTTAAAATGAGTGTCAATTGATCGATAGACGGCGAAATGCAAAGGCGATGAAGGTGGTCTGTTGAAGACGCAGTGATCTTGAGAGCAGTAAAATGATGGATTGGGTGAAATTATCTACCCTACTAGGTCCTGTCAATGCCGGGAAGTTGCCTCCTTCCATTGGAAAAATAAACAAACAAAGAAGGGGGAGACTCAAGCATGAGAGGCTGAAAGCTTGGTTAGGATCAGTAGGAGAGCTTGTGACTACTTCTTGGGGAGAGGAGTAGGACTATTTCGATGGTGAATTCAAAAACGAAGGTGAAGAAAAAACGCTAGCATGGATACAATGTGTGATAAACTATCCAGACATTGTCGGCAAAAGGAGTTGCAGACGGCGAGGCTTACCTTCGTGAAGTTTGACGATGACTCCGAGGGGATCATATTCGATTGACAAACTAACTGGGAATTTGAACTTGGCGACGTTTTCTTTCGAATTGAAAACCCGTGAGATTTTCACGGCTTTAAATAATAACTCTGCTTTCGCCATTTTTACCTCATCGCGAGACGACTGAAAACCGAAAAGGACCGATGAAATGAAGCGCTTACTGAAAAAATGGTCACTCGCTCTGCAGAATGAAAATGAATGTTTTTGGAAATGCTAGTACACTGCAGCAATGCGGAAATCGTGATTGGTCAGCGTCCAGCCGAAGGTTTTTTGACCGTCTGCAATTGGTTGCCGTTTGATGGTTCAAAAGAGCGTAAGTAAATGTCTAAATAAGTACAAGTTTTGGAAGAAATAAATGAAATTGTCACAAGATATTCACATTTAATTGCTGCCGAATTGCAGGGCCTGCCAAACCAACGTACCTACCCTTACCCCTTTATTCCTTCAAACATTATGAAAATGTAATGGGAACTTTCAAGGTCAAGAAAATATTCACCCGCACTGATGACCTTGAATTTGGCAGGCGCTAGTAGCGCCTTTTCGCAAATTCGCATCATGTCTATTGTTCGCCTTGTGAATTGTGATCAATTAATGTAGCCTATATTAATCCAAGTGTACTCATTTTTGCAGCATTTTACAGGATAATAAACTCATACTCATAGACGTTCGCTTTGTTGCAGTTCAGAGAGGAGGGGGGAAGGGCTTCACTGCAAAAACGCGTATCTCGACTGCGGTGTTGCAAGATATTGTAATTACCTAAGTCCTAAAACTTGAGGGCTGTCCGCGATTTTGTAATTTTATCTCGGATAGGCATTATAAGAATTCTAAATTTCTACAGATGACGCACTTTCATCGATAGATGAAGTCGAAAAATGTGCACACAGAGCTCGTTTCAGATTTCTTTTCCTTTACTGATGTATGCGCGGGATAGGGAATTACATATATAACAAAAGTTGAAAAGTAATCTGAAACGCGCTATAGGTACCTATTTCCACCGCAACGTTAAAAATCTCAGATAAAAAATTATAAATATAAAAAACAAAAATGACCGCTTGTTTTTTATTAATATTTTTAAATGAACTAAGGGCGTCATTAATAAAGAATTAAGATCATAGAAAATCGTCAGATTTACCGAAAAATAAATCAGGAGTGAAGTTTTGCAACTTCGCAATCGATGGCACTCCGCATTTCGTCAACTTCCGGCCGACTTATCTCAAGCGCCTTGCGACGTTTCAAAATTTCCGCCGTCATTTTATTTTTTTTACACAGGAATAGTTCAACGAAGCTGTCCGAAAATTTCACCGAATTTTCTTCGTGCTGCCGATAAAATTCAGTGAAATTTTCAAACAGGTTCAACCAACAATTTCTCTGTAAAAAAGTAAAATGGTGGCGGAAATGAAACATCGCATGGCACCTCTGATACTTCGGCCAGACAGTGACGATTTTTCGAATTTAGCCATCGACATTACCTAAAGGCATACCCATACCTCGCCGATCCCGAAATCAATCCCATGGACGTTTCATGAAAATCAAAAGAAGTTTCCGTGATGGAGCAAGATGGAGAACTGCAATATAAATTGGGTATTCGCTTAAGCAGGCGCCGAATAATCGCGAAATTGAGCTTATATGCGTCTAAGATAATCTAATTAATTAAATGATAAAACGCTGTCTTGCTGAGAAAAAATGCTGCCTGGAGGATCAAAAGCTGCCGAATTTTTCCCGAAGAAAAACATTCGTCAAAAAATCTCCCTGGTAAAAATTGGCGATAAGAGCTGCGTTTCAAAATACCACAGGAAATCTTATAGCCAGCTAAAGAAGGCTGCAGAAAATCATATAGCTGGCTGTAGAATGCGGAGCAAATCATACAGCCGGGCTATACGAAGCGATAAAAAATTATGCAGTCGGGCTATAGTTCCTATCACCGGGCTTTACACTTTATCGCCATCGATTATAAAAGGCTATAAGAAATTGTGTAGGAATTCGTGTGCTTTGGAAATCATTAAGTTTGATACGGAACCACCTAAATATTTACAAAACACACGTTATATTTTCCTTTAATACATTTTTTTTTTTTTTTTTTTTTTTTTTTTTTTTTTAATCAATTAAAACGAGAATAATGCATACAGGATGTGCAAACATTTCAAAATCATGAGTTGAATAACGCTGACTCCGCCAGATTAAATATTAGAGCCCAACACAAAGCGGAGCGGCGACGCACTGGCGCCTACAAACCTAACAGGGATACTTCACGCATTGCGCAACGCGTGAAGTATCCCTGTTAGATTTGTAGGCGCCAATGCGCGTTTCGAGCTGGCTGCCCGCCTGCCGCGCCGCAGCGTGCCACACGGCGCTTGAAGCAACTATTTCACACCAGAGGTATTGCACAGTATCATACGAAATTGAAGGCGCTCTAATATATTAGGAATGGCAGGCCTCTATCAAGAGTACGGAGCTTTCCTTGTAAAATAAATCAAGATACTACGGCCCCAAAAGAGAGCAGTGGTCCAAAAACTCACTAAGTCCTAGCATCCGTAATTAGTGACGTTTAGCGTACACTTTATCGCCTGGCTGTGAGTTGCTTATTCGCCATCGGCTATAAAAGGCTATAAGAAATTGTGTAGCCGGCTATAGAGGCTATTGGAAATCTTACAGCCGGCCGTAGGTCCATGGTATTTTGGAACACAGATTCTACTGCCAATTTTTACTAGGGCTATGATGCCGATCAACACATCCACCTATGCTATGCACAAATCTCTGAGATGTATGTATTTTGGCCTATCCTTTCATCGTGAGGCGTTTTATTTCGCGACAAATTAAGTCCAGGTACAACGACCACCCTCATTCTCTATACTTATATTTCATAGTTGACATTTTTGCATAGAGATTAAAAGGACATTTTGGGCGTCTCTACTTAGAGGTGGAATGCTTATAAGAAGGAAACTCTAAAAATATAATTCTCAACTGGTAGTCTCTTACTTTTTGCTCGCGCACCCAGTAAATTTTGTTTCATTTAACTATGTACCAATTTGCATTTTCTCAGGCATAGGGCGAACTATCATTTTTTAAATGATAATTTTCTAGAAATGTAATCTTGAATGAACCAAAGCATAAAATTACTTACATGGAATCTTAGGTAGCTTAGCTCATTATTATTTCTAAAAAATAAAAAAATAAATTGTAATGAAAATAATAATAAATCAATATTTAAGTAAAACGAAGAAAATAAATTTATAAAATAAGATATTTGATGGACTTTCAAAGTTCAGCCGACATAACTTGTCTCTGGACATAACAATAAAGATGAGTGGTTAACGGATTTGGTCATTCAATATGAGGAGGTCTTAAACTTACGTGACGTTCAACAGTCAGTGAACTGGCTATCTGTTTTTGTTTCTTTCCTCAATAATTCACCTAGATTTAGGCTGTAGGTAAGTGGACCACCCAGAAAAAACAATCTTCATTTGTTGAAATACACATACACACCCCCCTCCCCCAGCGCCGGAGCTAGATATTTGACGCCCGTGTGCGAGTAAGGACCTCAGGCGCCCCCCTCACGGAGGCATCGACCCCCCATTCCCTGAGGGACTTCTCAAAGGACTTTCAGCAAAATGAAATTTTAATTACGCATTAAACTTAGGTGAAAGACGAAAGCCAATGGAGAGCCTTGATTTCGATATATCGACGTCAATGGATCGAAATCATGACTCTCCATTGGCTTCCGTCTTTCAATCGCGGCGATTAATCGCCGTGTGTGTCTAGGCCTTGAGGAAGAACGCCGAATAAACATTCGAGGGTTGCCAAATTTCCCTTGACAAAACATGTATTTTTGACGCCATTCATGCACACTTTTCTTTGAAATTTTCAGACATTTGAGATGAAATTGCATGCATGACCGTCTGAAAATTTTGGGGGAAAATATTCGCAAATTTCCCCGTAAATTCAGTTTTTATCGAAGGAAACTTGGCAACGTCTGAAGGCTCATACGGCGTTCTTCCTTAGCACGACAGAGTACCTGTTTATCAGCGATGATATCTGCGAACAGATTTTCCGCTCCAGCACCAGCACCCACTTCTTTGCTTACTCTGCACTCTGCACTAAAATAAATTTTGGTATTTTTGTAGTAGTTCGTTGCCCCTTATGACATAAATCGGCGTTCGCTCTTGAGAACCCTCTCGACCCCTGCCTTATGTGCAAAAAAAATTTTGCACGGTGACAGGGCCGGATTTACCTACTTGCCGCCCATGGGCCGTCTGTATTTTGCCGCCCCCTTCTCATTCGTTTTGAAACATCAATAAAAACCATCAAGTGAACGTGCCGGAGGGGGAGGGGTGCATAAGACGCGTTTACCTACTCGTGTTGGATACATTTTTTGCGAAAGCCATGTCAACACTACCAGCAAAATTTCACGGAACTTTGCGCGAAAGGTAAGTTCCGTAAACCTATCTCTGTGTGGACAAGGTCCTCCATTTTTAAGAAATAAACAAAAAAATTATGAAAGAACATAAATGTGGTTTAATAATTTTCCGCCGCTGCGCCGCGCTGATCGCACTGTGTTTGGCGCAATGCGTGAGGTATTCTTGCAGTCTTGTAGGCGCTGTGCGTTTCACGCCAACCGCTCCTGACCGCACTGCGTTCGGCGCAATGGGTGAAGTATTCATTCAGTCTTGTAGGCGCTAATATGTGTTACATGCCGACCGCCGCGCCGAGGGTTTTTCCTTTTCATCTCAATTGTCCTCGTCATCACTCCTCTCTGCGCTGAGCTCCAAGCCAAATTGCGAGTTTAGTTTCTCTCTTAACTCGACTAATTAAAGATGCTGTCTTTTAATCACCGAAAAACGACAAAATTAGAAATTACTATACTCTCAGGAAAGAAAGACTTTGTCCCCTTTTCTCACTGATAATTTTTTTTTCTGAATCCGATTTTTTAATACCTACATTCGAAAAAATTGCAAACTTTGCCGCCCCCTAAATTTGCCACCATGGGCCGCGGCCCATGTAATCCGGCCCTGCATTTTTCGTAGATTTTTCAATCACATATTTTAATCGATGTCTTAGCGAATTTACTCTCAAAGAATAAATCGATGGTAAGAAACTGCAAAAATGCGTAACTCGGTTTCGGTGTTTCAAAATATCCGCTTTTTTTTTTTTATTTTTTAAAATGTGACCAAACCAGTCACATCATGGCTTAAAATTTCCTTAAAATATTCTTCACATAGAGAAGAAAAATCATCGAAGTTTTCAAGAAAGGACGTTCAGGGGTTTCCCATGTAAAAAATAAAGTATGACAGGAAGTCTGCAACGCCGCAATCCGATATTACACGCATTTCTGTAGTCACACCATCAATATAATGAGTTCGTTTTTTTATATACCCCTGTCCCCTGTGAAAGAGGGGAGGGGAAGAGGTGGCTCAGAGGGCGCTGTACATGGGGGAAAACTGAAGAAATATCCTCCTACATACAGTGCTTTTTCCTAACAAAGCAGTTCAATGGTAAAATAAATTGAATCCAGCCTTAATCTCTATTTCTTAAGTGTCGTTTAGAGATTAGCGAACCGACCCCGGTTATTTTTTTTCGCAAAAATACGAATTCACCTTGATTCTGAAATGAAGCGAAACCTGTCGAGTGCCAGTGCCTGCTTTCGAAAGTTCACTTCCCCCTAATTATTCTTACCACTTTTGTAATAGTATGAGTGTTCCTAGAGGAAAAGATGATGGAAAGGAAAGTAGATTACAGAGCGAAAATCTGGATATTAAAAATTACCCTAAAAATCTTCTTCAGAAATCTCAGATTTTCGAGCTTGTCTGTTGATGGAGCCATCGACCGTGCTCGATTATCCACGCTGTTTTTTCATCAGCAAAGCATGCATTTGGACCAATGTCGACTTGGTCACAGGAAATGACAATTAAATAAACCTGGAGCTTGGCATTGGGGCAAGGATCACAAGCTGCGCATCACAAACTTCAGTTGCGCTATTTTGAATTTGCCTGCAGCATTTTGAAGTTTGTTTTTCTACCAACCGCATGGCCCGAACACGCGCAGGGCGAATGATAATACAGATCCATCTTACAAGCTGCTCCACATTATATTGCTACATTGTAGGTTTTTATCGAGATGACGCATTTTTCCTACTGGAGAAGCGGGACTAATGCACTCTTATCAATTTATTTCTTGCTCGAGTAGAAATTTTTCGCGCCCGCTGTCATTCCGTGGCAAACTCCGGCGTTGGTAGAACTGTCCGTTTCGATCATATGATCATTGTTGTTCTTTTGAGTTTTTTTTACGCGTTATCACTTATCACAAGCGTGTTTATTTTTCGTGGTTAGCTTGACCATCGATCGATCATTGTGAATCTTGAGGATGTGTTACACTCCTCTGCTTTGAATTTAACGCTCATCATCAAGTGCAGGTAAGTCGCTGTCGCTATAGTTCTTCGCCTTGGCCCAGTTTTCGAGGTCTGGGGTCTGACCTTGTAGGTAATCACCGTCGATCTTCATTCATGTGCATCACAAGCGCCAGACCAGTTCTCTCAGTTCCGCGTCCGCCGCTGTGCCAAAGTGCGTCGTCAACGCAAAAGTTGCGTCTCATCTTCAGGAAGTGGAGAAAATTCTAGCTCGTTCGCACCTATAGTGTCTATTCTAGTGCAGGATCCACATTTGGTACAAAGTATCCTTATGAAGTGAATTCGTTGGAGGCAACTGACAACCATCCCAGGTCTCTGTTTTGATTGTGTCATTAGCTCTTATCAGTGTTTATTGTGAGAACCTGCCTTGATTAAGTTGATGTCCGCCTCTACTTCTGAAATTCATTCTAAGTTATCCAACGAATTAACAAGTAGCAATTCCTTTTTCCGAGAATTTTCCTTGGTGAAAAATTGTTATCAGTTCAACCATCTATTTATGTGTTTTGATTGTTTGTTTTTTTTCTACTAGGTAATGTATTGGACTACTCATTTGGAGGGCGGCCCTCGTCGTGTTAATCATGCTGCCGTTGTCGTCAATGACAAAATCCTCTCATTTGGTGGCTACTGTACCGGCGAAAACTACAAGCTTAGACGACCCATCGATGTGCACATTTTAAACCCAGGTATTGATGTCTTTGTCCTCTGTCTAGCGTCTCCATAAGTTAGTTGTAAAGTGTAAAATCATGGCAGTCACACTTACCTTGAACTCCTGGATTTTATTGCATTTTACATTGTTAAATAGAGTGGTAAATTACTACTTATTGTTGCTAAGCAACAAGATGCGTTCGAGTGGTTGAATCAGAAGGAAAAACGGAGTGCAGTTTATGACACTGCAAACTTCAGAAAATTCTCCATTTTCTGAATTGAAAGTCATCCAACATCAATCCTTGAAAGCTTCCGAGGTTTTCCTTTTATATGTGAAATAAACATGGTGAGCTGAGATTCCTTTGTTCTTCTTGATGACATTAATGTAGGCTGGAAATTTTGAATCATTTTAATTTACAATTGCGTTACAGAAGCCCATCATCTATTTGTTCAAGTGATCCTATTAGACCAGAACTCTGTCAGCACAGGTGAATAATGCATAGGTCCATGGAACGACAGTATTATTCAGGCTTCATTTAAGTACATAGTGTCAAAAGAGATAAACTGTGAGACTCTTTTAAAAGACAGGCATCATGATAATTTTTAATCAAGGCGAGCAATGCTTCTAGTTAGGTTTCTTCTTTGTACCCATCAAGAAAGATTTTTCAGTCCATGCACACATTTCTAGCTAGGTATTTCTATAAAGTATATCAGATTTTTCATAGCCTTTTCTTTTTTTTTCAGTCACTCTCAGATGGATTTCTTTAGCTGAGCCAAAAGAGAAGGATCCTCAGTATGCCTGTGCTCCATTCCAGCGCTATGGACACACAGCGGTTGTTTACAACAACAATGTTTACATTTGGGGAGGCCGAAATGATGAATACGGTTGTAATACCTTGTTCTGCTTCAACACAGGTATACTAATCTATGCGATCATTATGTAGCATAATATTTAAATTATCCAGGTAATTATCATGTGTTTTGTACTCTGCTATAGTGCTTTTCTCTTTTAAAATAATCCTATTTGTATTCGAAAGAAGGTACATGATAATAACACCACGGAAAGAATATGTAATTTTTTTATCTTGTGTTTATTTTTGGTCATTCATTAAGGATATCATTGGAGATGACTTCTTACCAAATAGACAAAAGAGAAAAAAAGTAGCCTTTCTTGTATATGAGTGGAGTATGTTAGAAAAAATTTAGACAACAAAGAGAGCCCAAATGCTCCTTTTAATTTCAAATATTTTTATTTTTAATTATGGAAACTTACAACGAGAAGAAAAGACGAAAAGAAGAAAACAAACCCTCTTCAATCATTGAATTTTTAAAGATTGTGAGGAGTGGCATAACTGTCAGCAAACTGTAAGCAGTAAAACTGTCTGTTTTTTGTATTACCTTGCTCAAGCATTTATGATTAAATGTCATTCGTTTTTTCAGAAACTCTAACGTGGTCTATACCTCAGGTCTCGGGGGAAATTCCTCGAGGCAAAGATGGGCACTCTGCCTGCGTCATTGGTGACAATATGTATATTTTTGGCGGTTTCGACGTCCACCAGAGTCGATTTTGCCAAGATGTCTATGCTTTTAATTTCATAAAAAACCAGTGGTCGCTCGTACATACTCATGTAAGTTCATACTTTGAGTCGTTTCTTTTTCATTCAATTCCCACTTCAAAAATATCCCTGCTTGGAGGAGAACTTTTAGCCCATGCAGGAATATATTCGGTCTTCACAGGTTGCTGAATATTTTACACTCGTAAATAGTCTAATAGTCTGTTTATTTTTAATGTTTGAATAATTCACAGAAAAAAATTAGTCACTTTGTCACCGAATCCATTCGCTCAATTGAACTGCATTTTGCAATTAAGAACTACAATTTGTGACTCATCCATAAATACACTTATGTACATTGGGAAACTAATGTTACATATCGACGGTGAAACTACCAAACCACGTATCTCGGTTTGCGACGTCGCAGACTTCCTGTCATACTTTATTTTTTAAATGGAAAACTACTTAACGTCCAGTCTTGAAAATTTCTGTGATTTTTCCTCTTCGTGCGGAAAAAATTCTGTGAAAATTTCAAGGAATGATATTAATTTGGTCCACTTCAAAAAAATAAAATGTGAGCGTAGATTTTTAAACACCGCAAACGAGATACGTGGTTTGGTAGTTTCACCGTCGATATGTTGTTTCTGAACTGAGCCAGAAATTGTAGTTCCTAATTGGATGTATTTCTATGAAACAGATTTATGTGCAGGTGAAAATTATGGGGTGTGCTCTAGAAAGTTGCATAAAAAACAATGTAAAAGTGGGCAGGATTCCTTTGAAGAATTGGAAAAGCGGAATTTTAAATTCAGCAAACAGAACTATGTGCCAACTGAATGCGGCATTCATGAGCCACAGGCATGGCACAAGAGCGTCGTGGACAGGGCTCATGAGTCAAATCGCCCTGACGACGATCTCCCTGTCGTACCCCGACTCAATCATTGCCGCTGACGTCACTGGCGCTTTATTATTCTCATTCACTCTTACGGCCAGAGAACTAATGAGCACACCCCATATTTCTCACCTGCACCTTTGGAATATTTTTTCCTCCGCATTTTTTCAAATGTATCCACACTGCTTAACAGTGTGCAAGCAAAAACTGCAAGAAGCAATTGCAACACAACTGCAGGAGGATCAAAAACAACCAAGTAGCCGCAGAGTTTAATAGAGCCTTGGGTGATGTTTGGGAGTGTTCTCTTTTTCTGCCGTTTGCATCATCCCTATTAAAAGATCCAATGTTTAATTTAACATACGATACCAGTGCTAAACTGGTATTGCTAACTGCTCATTAGTGTCTCTCCAGAATTATCACTTAAGGTATGCTCCAATCCTTTAGTTCCATCCTGAGTCTTTAAGAATTTGACTTTATGAGAAATGATTCTTATTTTTCTATAATGTATTGTTTTAGGGTACACCCCCTCTGTTTAGAGATTTTCATACCGCCACTGCTTGGGGGACCAGAATGTATATTTTTGGTGGTCGTGGTGATGAAGCAGGTCCATTTTCCTCTTCACATGAGATCTACTGCCCAGTGATAATGTATTTAGAAACTAAAACAAATTGTTGGAAGACCCCAACGAGTCGAGGTTCCATACCTATAGGAAGGCGCAGTCACTCAGCTTGTAAGTATCCTTTCAGCAACTTTGTCAACATAGCGGGAAGTGAATTTGGTTAGAATTATGGCATCCTGTCTACTTGACGTTCATTTCAAAGGGAACCTACTTAACATTTTTATGGCCCAAAATTTGGTAAATGATACTTCATCCTGAGAGGAATTTCACAGAAGTTCTTAAGAAATTGTGTCGATTGGTTTTCTATTAAATAAATGAATGAAAAGTAGAAGTAAAAAAAAGGAAATTTGTATTCTTGCAAATGAACTGCATTAAGCAGAAAGGAACCAAGCCACATCAGCTACTGCCAAATTTAACTGGGCAATTTAATTTTTTACAAGAGAACGTTTTTGCGGATTCTTTTGAAAATTTTAAGGAATTTGCTATGTATTATGCAGAACGAAAATCTAATGTGTGGAAAACTTGAGTGAATGGAGTTTTACATTATATCTACATTAATAAGATTAATTCCGTTGATTTTATCATACTATCTCTTTTCTATTTCAAGATTTTTTTTTTTTTTGTTACTACTAGTTCAACAGTTTTTGGGGATTTAATATGGTTAAATAATTGCGTTATTCAGAGAGTAATAGGTTATAGTTCAATAATTAATATGTATTGAGTTATTTATAGACTAAGAATTAAAATCACTGAAATTTGCACACAACTCTTCACAACCATAATCATTTAAAAAATTAAATTGCCTAGTTAAATTTGGCAATTGCTGATGTGGCTTGGTTCCTCTCTGCTTAACGCAGTCCAAATGGAGTCTCTTGTTTTCTGAGTGTAGTTATCAATGTATCTAAACACCCCGGAAACAAACACTTCTTTAAATTTAACTATGTCTCGTTTTGAGCAAAGGATTGGATGAAAAAAAGAATAATTTTATGCTGTAATCCGCAAGGTTTTTTATAGGTCCCTTTACTTTCAACTAATTTTCACCAGAAACTATAATTTTTATTTATGCATGTATAATATCTATGCGTATCTAATAACTCATTGCTCTGTTTCAGTCTCTCATAATGGTTACCTATATATCTTTGGTGGTTTCAACAGTGTATGCAATAAACATTACAATGATCTCTATCGATATAATTTTGCTGCCTCAGAATGGCAGGTTGTTATGACACTAGGAAAACGGCCTTGCAAAAGGAGAAGGCAAGTCTGTCTGATGATTGGTGACCGATTATTTGTTTTCGGCGGAACTAGGTATTGTCAATGTGTCCTTACCAGATTATTTCTTTAAAAATCTTGCGATCGGCTTCTAGACAAGGTATGAATTAAAGCACTCTGCAACATGTTTTCTCTTCAAAATTTAACAAGAACCTAGAATTTCACAGCGAGAAGTCTGGAAATCAATTCCTCAACAAGATTTAAGTGCTCACGATAAGGGGTGCAGAAAATGCCCAACGGGTGTGTGAAAATGTGGATGGAGGGAAAATTTTGAAGGGTCATCAGTTAAAAGTCAACAAAAAACAGGAAAAAGTCATCTTTTTTGTGGAAAATTTTGTGGAAAATTGATGGAAAAAAATGTTGAAAGCCCGCGGGCAGGCACGTAAAAATGTGGAAGCTTGGAAGATTCTGCACCCCTACTCACAATTGACATTGGTTACTTAAGTGGCAAAAATACAAATGACAATATCTACCTCTCATTTGATCTGTGTTAAATATCCTTCTTCATATCTTGTTCTGCAGTTGATTTCCAATCTTCCCATTGTGGCGATTGTTTTCCACTTAATATTTTGAAGAGAAAACTTGTGATGTTTTTTTTCTAGTTCAGACCCTGTCTGGTGGCCCATTATAGTAATTAGTTTTTCTTTAGGTTTGGTTAAAAAAATATCTAAAGTGCAGACAGCATTTTGTGGATTTTTACCACAAGGATGACATTGCAGGCTAAGTTTCTGAAGATACCTTAAACCTAAACGCAAATTGTTGTACAATTGTTTAAGTCACTGAAATAGTGAAGTATAAAATACTTTCTGAAGAGACTGACAATATTTTAGAAATTTATATCTTGTGGTAAACCATAACCAGAACAAAGTGTAGTACTTGGCTGAATTCTATTGCCTAGAGTTTTATATCATGATTTCTTTACTGTAATCAGGAGATACGGGAAATTTTCGAGTTATTTTTTGCAAGCAACCCTGTACAAACATTAAATCAACTGACTGGAAGATTTTGACTTTTGGCAACTGCCCCAAAATGAAACCCCTCCATTCTCTGCAGATTAAAGTGTCTATTCTTGGATAATTGTGTAATGGTCTTATCTCACTGATAAAATTACTTGCTGTTACACAACTTTTCACTTTAATGTTCTACAGAGCAAGATAAAAAGTTGTTTTTTAATGCCGTCCATCTGTGCAAACAAATTTCAGCCAACAAAACAAGAGTGAAAGTGGCTTATATTGTTTGTTTATGTGCCTAATTTGTTAACAACCATTGGCATTTTATTTACAATGGCTTTGTGATAAAAATTGCAGAAGAAAGTGAGATTACGACTTATTGTTATTGATTTAAGAATGCAGTCTGATGCGTAAAAAGGGCCGTTATCCTCACCCAGGAGGATAACCCATTCTCTGATGCCGAGTGTTCTTTCAAGAATTGAAAATAAGTAGATTGAGGTCGAACTTTGCACTATTGCTGAGAATGACAACATTTCAATTTTTTTAATGGAGGCAATCTGACATCTCAGTTCATGGATCAAGGAATAGCCACTCAGTTGCACACGTTTTTATTTTATGATTGAGGGCCATCCGTAAATTACTTAATACACCAGGAGGGAGGGGGCCACTGACAGAGTTAAACTTTATTTCGTAGATGTATGGAAGTATATCACTCCGGGGTGAGAAGAAAAAAACAATTGGAACAGTGTTGTCAGGTATTTTTTAATGGGGGCAATTTCTTTTGATTTTTAAAAACCAAGAAATTAATTCTGTCAGCATTTTATTTCCGACGTTCATGTCAACCAAGACCAAACATACTGAATAAAGCCTGTAATAATCTTAAAAAATAGAACTTGTTAAACTTCACTGCTGCTGCATTATTGCTATCAATGTGAAAGGGTGCAACAATGCTCTTGTATGATCTGGCATACAAATAATTTAGTATGTATTTACTCCTCAACAACTTTATTGTATTAAATACTTCTTTTAATCTCAAATATCAATTCCCTCATGCAATCATTACATTTCTTTTCAGTCCAAGGGATGATGCAGATGAAGACTCATTAGTGGAAAAATTAATTGATCACGATGACATGCATATATTAGACTTTGGTAGGTTCAAATTCTTTTTACACTTTTTTCTTGTTTGTCATGGTTTCTGTGCATCTCATAACCAGTTTTTCCTTTCAGAGGGAGCTGGTGATTAAAGTCTAAACTTTTCGTCAATTTTTGTCTCTTTCACTGCACTAAGTAGGGTCTGTTTACTCTGTTATTAGTCTTGGTCTTGCAATAATTATGACTCGTTTTTGCTCTCTTTTTTCCAGTCGAAAATGAGATTGTCATTATTTTGAAACGTCCTAGTTTTTTACTGAATTTTTTGTCTTCGATCTTTACATATTTTGGTGCAGTATTTCTGCGAATTAAGTTGTTCATTTTACTTGTTTCGAATCTTATTCTAATCTGACCTCTCTTGTTAAAAGTAAACTCAGGCAAAAAATCAAATTTAACAGCGCAATATCCTTTCATGTGCAGATCTGAATTACTAATTGAAAGACATTGTCTCATATAGTCTCTGATATTTGCGAGTAGACCAGGGCCATCAGGTCTGAGAAATCTGAATTCGTTTATCAGAATAGCCCCTGGTATGTTGCATGCAGCTTCCCTTAAAGCAAAGACAAACATAGGGTAGATTTTACGGAGAGCAACGGCACTGGCTGAATTTTTTTTGCTCTGTTTCATAATGTTTCTGACAACACTCGAAGTACTGTAGACTGAATCTCTAGAACTTACTATGTACTGATCATAAGGAAATCGGAGCTTAGAGGTGAATTTTTTAGTACCTTGAAATGTGCTTTCTAGTAGAAATGTCGCAGCATCTCCAAATTGGTTAGCAAGGAAATCCCTCCCTCCTCAGTCAGAGATATAAAACAACCTCTTCGGGAAATCTCACTAATGAGATGGCTCCCCCCAAAAAAGAAAAAGAACACATTTTTTGAAAGGATGTTTGTATTATATTTTGTATGTTGCATTATATCTGTGGCCTTTACTTTTTTTTTCAGCCCCATCATTGAAAAAACTGTGTCTCATGACGGTCCTGGAGAACAAACTGGATCAGAGCTGTTTACCTCCGACCATTAGGTGAGGAAGCAACTGCAAGATCTAATCATTTGCCCTTGGTCTTCAAACATATGACGAATTATATATATTTATCACAGTGTAGTTTTATTGAATCTTGCAACGTCTAAGTAAGAAGAAGAGACAAAAAATTATTCAAAGTTTTACCTATGTATAACTATGGGTGAAGTTAACCAAATTAATGATACAGTAGATCTCTAAGCATTTGGTTCAACTGAGATAGGATTTTATCTGGTCAGTAAAATTTAACGTAATCAGCGCAAAACCATATTATGCCCTGGACTATAGTACAAAAAAAAAAAAAAAAAAACACTTTGTTCATTTAGTCTAATAGTCATCTGAACTTAAACTCTCAGCAGGAGAATTTTTTCCCCTGAGAGTCCCCATAAAAAAAATCTTATATCCGTCAATTCATTTGTCTTTTACTATGTTTCAGATGGGATCTTAAAGCAATGACGACAAACAATTGCCTAAATCGGAAGTTGACCAGTTCTGGATGACAACTCATGGCATGTCTTCGTCTCATGTTTCGTTAATTTGTGTTCCTATTTTATTTATCTGGTTCTTTATTCTTTTGTTTTTTAGATGGTATTGTCATGATTCTTTAAACAACAATGCTATGAAAAGACATGCAATTTAACTCGGGTTTCTTGTGATGACTAATTTGTAGAGACATTGCAGTACTGTCCAACCCTTGGCAGTTGAGCTTTTCGCTTGGACCACATTTTGCAATGAGGAACTAATTTTTCTGACTTATTTTCAGAAGTAATGTGTAATAGAAGATAGGTGCTTTTATGAATAAGCTAGAAATATTAGCTCTTTATTGCAAATTGTAATCCATTTATCATCTTCCCATCTCAGAGAGAAGTTTCATTCGAGTTTTGAATGGATGATACGGCTATTTTTATTTGGCACACTTTCAGAAGCAGGATAAACACAGTTTGAGTACCTAATTGAATGAAAGAAAGTGAGACATTTTCAGTCTTCATTGCTTTCTAATGTACAATCGCATCTCGTTATAACGTATTTTCAGTAACAGCGTTCATTTATTCAACTCTTGGCCAGTCCTTTCTTGTTAAAGAGTTTCCTGATGTAATGTTTTTTTGGAAACAATGTTCTATTTTTGATTCCTGTCTGAAAACGTTTTTACGAGGTACGACTGTATTCTGTGCCATCAATGCTATAATTATAGAGTATTTACTTTTCTGTCTTCAAAGTGGCACCTCAAACCGATAAACGTCTCCTCTGTTTTCATTCAACAGCTGAGTGAATGGGTAAATTGTGTGCTCATTCAAACGTACCCAGTAAATTCAAGCTCTGATTTTGGAGGATTTTAAGGACAAGTGTCTTTGAAAGCTAACCAAAAAGGGTTCTTATTACAATTTAGTCCTTGAACCCGCGCCAGTCTCTAATTATTTTTTTTTTTTATTTAATGTTTTGTAATAATTTATTTTGAGCAAAGCTGTTCCAATTTTAATTGTTGTTTTTTTGTCAATGGGGTCAAGTCATGAAGCTCCAACCACAAAAGAGTCATTACTCAGTGAATTTTGCTAATTTCATTCAAACTGACGATAGCTCAACTGTAGCTCAAATATACTCGTCAACAATCAGTTGATGAGGGACAGAATGTAAACTTGATGTAACTTGTACGATTACTTACTCATTAAAGTCAGAGAGGTTGCCTTATGAGGATAAGCTTTCCTAGAAATTTTATTTAATAATTAATTTTACCAGATTAACAACTTAAGATACAGTATAATTCCCAGACATTAAGGAGGTTGCATTTCATAGAATTCATTGTAAGTGATCCTGATTTATGTTTGGTGCAACTTAGATTGTTAAAAAAATCAAAGAAAGGCTAAAAACTGCTGTTACCAAGGAAGTAAAGTGAGAATCAACGGGAGTTATGAATAATTAATGGATTTTGAGTCAGTTTATGCACATCATAGAATCATATTTTGATGAATGTATCTGGTAGGTAAACAAAAATGAAAGAAGTGTCCCAAATATATCGACCGAGCGAATTGGGAGAGCTTAAAGTTGCATCAAGCTTAAATCGAGGAAAGGAGGATTGAAATTCATTTCTTCATAAGACTCAATATAGAGGACAAAGTTTAACATCTACTTTGATGTTAAAATCTTATTTTTCTCAACTGTGAAATTTCGTCAAGAAAATTTTCTAGTTAAATGCAATTCAAAACTACTCTCTACTCAATTTTTTCCCAAAACGCAACGTAATAAGTTTCAGTCATATTCGGTCCATTTAAGTTTCTATGTCTAGTACTGACGGAAATATCATGCAGAAACTTAGTGGTTAACATCGCCCCTCGTGCTAGTTTGTACGGAAGTTTCATCACTTTAGTTTCAACAATCATTACCAAACGAAATTAACACTTGTTTCCTTTTTTGCATTACTGATTTCGTTTGAAAAAGCCAGAGAGGCTTAATTACATTGTAATTTAACATAGGTTCACCTGATAAATTATGCCTTTTCTCCTTCACTGGCTTGTGCGTTATTTTGGAAAATTTTTATCTTATATTAATGAAAATTTATGAAAAATTTAAAGTATGATTTGTCATTGTTTTCAAATGATATAATGAATTATGAAAGCTTTGTAATGTTGCAATGCATTGAAACCCCTCTCGCTCTGATTTCTTCATGTAGCGCTAACATGTTGGATACTACCATCCAGCGTGTTTATCAAAGTGTGATACCATTGGAACCTCGTGTCCGAGAGAATCGTTTCAATATTTTGCTAAATACATAATTTTATAATCAGAACTTGATTCTACGAAACAAGCAACTGACTCCCTCTTATTAGGAAATTTTCGGCTGTGTCTTCATCTGTGTTTCTTTTTATAGTCAGTTTTTGCCTAGTGATAATAAACTCCAAATGGGGAGACATCTTTGAAAAAAATTTTAACATCAATTTAAAGAATACTCTGGAGTTAAACTGATGATACTAGATCAAACTGCAAACTCCGTTGAATCAATTTCTACCTTTTCAATTCCAACCTAATGTCCAAGACTCTTCATTTACTTCTGTACGTTCTTTTTTTGGTCTCGTGAATTGTGCCTTTTAACCCTGATATTAGTAGACACCAATATTTACGAAGAAATATTCCACAAAAATAAATACCTGTTTCAACAGTAAAGCAATACCTCTGAGTGGACACAGATACCCCTCTCTCTCTCTTTCTCTCGTCTTGTCCGTTTCTTTTAATTACAATTTCCTTCACCAAACGTAAGGTAAACCCCAAATTCACCTAAATTTTTATCAGGAGTATCCAACCCACTTTCTTTGCCTAGCAGCTCAATTTTAGCTTTTATTATTATACATTCATGAAGTATAAAAAGTGTGACTTGAAGTATGACAGTGAGTCAAGTAATTCTATTGTTTAATGAATTCCCCTGTGGCTCTCTTTTTTTCGTCACTAAATTTCACCTCTTTCATGATTGCCTTAGGGCTTGTCTCCACTGGACGTTTTAAAGCAATGTATTCTAGGAGTGAGTTACTTAAAGAAACCTCTTTTTTACCATTCTGAGAAAGCACTGAATTACTGAAATGTATAAGTAAGATAAAAGACTAGGTAGTCAATCCTTTGGCTGCGGCAACTAATTTTGAGAGAGTAAGAGTTAATGACCAATTTGCTGTTGCAGCAAAGAGTTCCCTGAAAATTCAGACAGAGACAACCCCTATGTGTTTTCCTGCATTGATGATCGAAGTGCAAAACCGCGTACCTCCGTTTGCAACGTTGCGAACTTTCTGTCGTATTTTATGTTTTCTTTGGAAATTTAGTCAACGTAATTTCTTGGAAACTTCCTTGATTTTTTCTTGCTGCAAGCAGACTTTTCTGTATAAATTTCAAGCTACACAGTTAGCTAGTTTTTCTGCGAAAAAAAGTAAATAGGAGGGGAAATTTTTAAGACATCACAATGGAGATACGCGGTGTCGCACTTCGGCCATCAATATTTGTGTAACAGTCCTCTTTATCATGATCATGTTTTTTTTTTTTTTTAAATGTTCTTACTATGTGGCAATTCTGGTCAGTCATTAAATATGATCTTTTAAGTAGGTCGCTTTTTAACACTGAGCATCTGTAATCATTTTCGCAGCTTGAAAAAGACTTTAATTCTCTGAAGTAAATTTTTTTGCAAGGAGGTCTTATTTTTATCCAAGCAAATCAGACTGATTTAGTGGTTAGGTTCGTTTTTTTTCAAATGATTCCAATCAAAACAATGGAACGTAATCCACATCTAAATTTTTTTTTATTTTATTAATTAATCAAAATTGTGTAATGAACAAGTTCTCAATCAATTAATGATTTATTAAACGCGAGAAAGTAGTATTACATATAAGAAAACACTAGACACATCTCATTACCATAGCGTGAAAACTACGGTTGTCTGTGTACAATTGAAACCATCAGAACTGCAATGACGTATCCACTAAATCAGTATGTGAAGCATCTTGAATGATGCTGCCTAATTTGTATCTCTCATATTTTTCAAACCAAAGTATATTTACGTTAATTTTGTTTTCTAATTGCATGAAAAAATTTGCGCTACCTTTTATTAGCAGCCCATATTTTCAGAGCGTATCTCTGAAAAAAAATTGATAACTTTTCTCACCCAGCCTCGTTTTTTACTATCTACAATTGTAAAAACTGAGATTTTAAAAGTCCTGCATACAAGAAACTTGAGGCAAATGTTGCAATAATTATCTTTACAGGTGTGAAAATGTAAAAAATTTGCTGTAAAGTTTGAATACTCCACTTCATTTGAACAGTTTTATTTGACAAAAATCTACATTTCATGTGGTTCTATCAGATTATTTGAGCCAACTAATGCTATTGTTTTGTCAACTTCCGGTTACGTTCTTCCTTAAAAATAAAATAAATCTAGAAAAAATAAATTTTTGTTTTTGTCTTTATCTCTGTTTCCTTTCTATATCAGCGCTTCCCCAGTGCTCTCATTATTATCAGCTTAAGAAGCAAATTTTTGCGCTCAATATCGCAAGACACTCAGAAGTGTTGCCAACCTGTATTTAGACAAAATGAAATTTTCTTTGATAGAAGTAAAGTCACAACTTTTGATTGATCCCAAGGGCAGAAATGTATAACATTTTCTTCATTTGCATTCAAATTATAGAGATGATTCCCAATCAGATGGATACAATTTTAAAATATCATCAAGCAAACACCAGTAATTTGCTCTTGACTCCTTTCAGTTTGTCGTTTTTTTTTTTTCATTAAATTAATGAGCACCAGAGGAATGCCATTTAATCAATAGTCACTTGCATCCAATGACGAAAATTTTCCATAGAGAAAAAAAAGGAGGTGTTTGCATCTTGAGGTTTGTTTACCCTGTGACGTAGGTCGGTACAACCTGGCCAGCAAAATCCGGAATTCGAAATATAAAAAACGGACCATAATGTCCGATTATTATACTTAAATCAACTCATGATATAACTACAAGCACTTTTTATTGAATGACTTTTTTCCATAAATTACACCATTTCCAAGAAAATCGATGATAAACGTCGCTGTACCGACCTACGTCATCAAAAAAAATTCCAATATGCCCGAAATGCAAACACCTCCTTTTTTTTCTCTAAGAAAATTTTCCACCTGATTTTAAGGCTTGTGCCCCAAGCAGCACAATGCAACAAAAATATTGAAATTAAATTGAAATTTGCTTTCAATACAATTGTAATTTTTTTCCCATTAAATTGCAATATTTTTTCATCATTTAGTCGATTTATGCCGATTTTAAACAATCGACAAAATGAGCTTCGTGTATCAGAAAGATAGGCAATATGCAGTGAAAAATTGCAACTTATTTCAAGTTTATTGCAATAGGTTTCGATAAATGGGGCCCCTTTAAATAGGAGCTAGGCAACATACACAGCACTCACTTAAATTGCAATATTTTTACTTGTTGCAATCTGTGCTACTTGGGTGTTTAGATGAAGGGTGAAATAACCGACAAGGAAGTATATGTTTTCATCAGGTTAATTTTTATTTTGATAAAAAAGAAATAATTGGAGGAAAAACAATAAAAATAACTGTAAGAAACTCTTAGAGACATGTCTACAATACGATATTCATACAATACGATATTCATACAATACGATATTCATACAATCGAGTATTACATACTATCTACAAAATATTACCTTGACAAAAAACAAGAATAACGAGCTACCAAATTTGTGTAAAATTACTAATTAGTTTGGTTACCTTATCACAAAAATTCCAAAAAAAGGTGATGTTTACGGCCTCACATTTTTATTTCGTTGATGCAGTTATACATAAAAATTTATAAAACAAGATTAATACTTGACTCAAAGCAATCTCAACTAATGAAACACCATAAATGGAGCATCGAATTATGAATTTTACCTGAATTTTTATGCTGGAAAGTAAAATGGAAGCTAGCTAATATGTCAATTTTTTTGGACACAAAAAAACCGTTGCCAATTAATTAATCAGAGATGCAAAAAATAATTGGATATTGATTTAAATGTTGAACAGATCATTCTCATTTAAAGCACTGAAATAAACAAAATGTTCAACTTTTAAAAATACGTGTACTTCATCTAAAATATAATTCAAGTTCGAGACTGTTTTATGCTAAAAAATTTCTGAAAGCAATTTCAGATGCAGCAGGGATTGATCTAAGATTTTTTTCAGCTTCAATCTTACATCATTCGTACTTCTGAAAAAAACTGAAACTAAGTTAGCAGTTGTTATGAACAGAGATACATACTTCTATGCAGGCAATTTTATAAGATATAATGATGTATTATATTCACTATCAGACTGATTATGAAGTATTACAAGTCTGTTGAAACACGGTAGATTTTTGCATTCCATGATAAATTAAGTAAGATTTTAAAATTCAGAAATAAAGAGGCTGCGCTCCTATCTTTTAATGATCATTGGCTAAAGGGATGCCTCTAAATTAATGTGAAAAAATCATTAAAGCCTGCTAATATAATATAAAAAAATCGAGGGAGTAAATCACTAAAATCAGGTAGCGCACACTAAATTTCTAAAAAAAAAAACATGGACTACAAATATGGATGAGGCTTGGTAACATATTGAAACAACCTACGTACGAATTAAAATTCCTAATAGCTGGCAAAGTTGATCTCACAGATTTTTCCCTGAACGATTGAACGTATTACTTTAAGCTTCTACAGCTAAAATGTACAGACTAATAATTTGAAAAGATTGCTTTGAAGACTTTTGCTTTAAGACACACGAGAATTTTATTGAGAAAGGCAGCTTATAATTGCGAAACATTGAATACTAAGCGCCTTTTGAATCTGGAAATTAACAGAATCTGAAATGAGCAAAAGAAGCTAAACAGTTGCAAAAAGAAAAAAAATGGCAAAACAATTTGTATTTTTGCTATGTAGTGAGATTTTGAAAAATTTGTGGCTCAAGTCATAATGACAGAGATTATTGGACATACCTACGATTTCAATGAGCCTCAGTTTTATTTAGAGTAAGAGAAATAAAGGCTCATCTACTCAGCGGGCAGAAATTTTTGTGTAAATAAAGATGAGCAGCATAAACTGATTTTATCAAACTAATTGAAACATTTGCAATAATTTTAGAAAAAAAATTGTTTTCTCTTTAAACACTTTTCATTGATAGCATATAAATGTCTTTAATTTCGAAAGAAAAAGAAGACATAATATTTAGAATGGGAGACGAATATATAATCAAAAACTTGAGTAGATTCCTCAATTTAAAAATACTACAAAAAGTGGATTATCAAGTGACTAACAGTAATGCAACTTACAGATCAACTGAAACATCAAAAAAATAAAATTGAGAACCTACGATAAAATTCTTGACAATAAAATTTTAATACTTTAAAAATTAAAAAGAAATTCCACGTTTCAGGAGTCTGAAACTTGTCGAAATTGACAATTTAAAAATGTGAAACTACCAAGTAAACTTCCAGAGATGTCACTATAAATAAAATATGTACAGACTTCTCTACAGTCTTATGGTATCAGAAAAAAGCACTTTGTACATAGGCTACTTGGAAATTTACACTAGAAATAAAGCCGTAAGGCTGAGTGGTACATGGGTTTAAACCATCCAAAAATTCAATGAGGGAAAAAGTCAAAAGCTGAAAAACTGATGAAAATTCATAATCAGAATTTTGACAGAACCAAATAAAAAACCGGTCATCACACTGAATCTTGATACAAACTTTCTGGCATGATTATTGCTTAAAAATTCTGCTGTTTTTCTGCAACCGTGAAAATTTTAAACTCACAGGCTCTGCACTCTGCACAAATGAACTGGACAAAACAAACAGCTCCGATGTTGGATGACTCTGAATATTACGATGAAAATGTGATTTATCATGAATATAAGCAGATTGAATCTATTTTTGACTGACATATCACAAAATATGAACACATAGTCATCTTTCATTGAATTGCTAATTGGATAAATACAATTCATCTTCAAGGTCTGCTTTTCTTTAGTTCTAAATCACCATTCTGATTGTGCTAATCCGCGATCACATTGTTATCACAAAAGTTAGACACCATAAACGACAAGTGTTTGAAGGCTCATCTCGTAGATTTACAGAAAAATTAAGCCTTGGAGGGGGGAGGAGTAACCCCAGAATCCTCTCCGCTCTTACTGTCGCTTTCCTCATCTGAGCAATCTTCATCGTGTGTGTGTGTGACGCGTCTCGGAGTTTCAGGCCGCTGGTGTGGCACTTGGCTTAGTTGTCTGTCGAGGGTTTTCAGTTGCGCTCTCGATTCACTGTCGATGTCATCCTCAACGGTTGAGAATGTTCGAGAGCGGGAGATCATCGGACTCTCCATCACAAACCTGAAACAAAACAGGAAAAAAATTGTATAAAATCATCGCACTATTGAAATAAACAATTTCCTTTCATACACGACAATATACGATTTGATAGGAGTCAACTCCTGTTTGCAGAGGATCTAGACGCTCTCAAAAAGGGACACAATATTAAAAATAGAGCAAGAGGATTAACGTTAACTGATCTGACCAACTCAATGCATCACTACAAACGACCTAAACACTGCTAAAGGAGGGAGAGGGGGTGAAAGGGAGAGAAAGAGCCAGGAAGGAAAGAAGGAGCAAAACACAAAAACCAACCCCCAAAGGGCTCACATTTCCAAGAAGGCGGAAATCTACTTGATCTCAATCAAAACAACTATGTATTTCTCTCAAGGAAATTCTCAAAAATGACCTCTGTCCTCTCTGGAGTTACACTTGGTATGATCAGAGAGTGGCCTTGTTTTTCACTCAAAATCAGTGGTCAAAACAGATGAAAGTCCTATTTTATTAGGATTAGGAACGAGGGACGAAAAGCAAAGATACATAACAATACAGAGCAGTCTCTCTGCAAATATTTCAATTCTTTTGAATATTTCAGAACTCCAGTTTGACTTGGGAGGTTTCACGATAACTGGAATAGTTTTGTTGCCGTAACAGACAACACATTTTTCGGTCATATTTTTAGTAGAAATGATAGTCACTCGAATTTTTTCGCATTAATCTTCAAAAGGTTACGTATTGTAACGCTTTCTAATGATTTATAGCTCTACTTCTCAATTAATATTATGCAAATCCGAAAATGTGCTGTCTGTTACGCGGTAAGAAGTCAGCGTAACAGACAGCACATTTTCGGCCATTTACATATTAAAATTGAAAAGTAGAGCGATAAATTTTTGAAAAGCGTTATAACACGTAACCCTGTGTAGATTAGTGCAACAAACTTCGAGTGATTATCATTACTACTAAAAATATGACCGAAAAATGTGTTGTCTGTTACGGCGACAAAACTATTCCAGTTATCTTGAAACCGCCCACTTGTATTTTAAAAGAAGAGTTGGAAAAATATATTTTTCTTGCTGTGATGCAAAACCTCGTTTGCATTTTAAGAAAATCTACCATCACTTTAAATGAACTGTCAATTCATATTCATGTTCATATTCATATTCATGTCATTCCTGAGCACAAGGATAGATATTCATAAATAGGATGGGGGGGGGGGAGTTAATAAAATTACTACGCATCTTACAACATATTGTATAATTGTATACAAAATAGTGTTTCAGAAATGCAAACATAAACGGTTAATTAACTGAGCTCAATTAATGCATTTATCAGTCAAATCCATCAAAGTTGCATGAAGAATGGCAATATTTTTGATAAAAGTTGCTCACTCTCCGTCCTTTCAAATATCTAATTTAGAGATCAGAAATGTTTGTGCTCAAAAATTGAATTTGTAAGACCGGCTTTTACAGAGAGCTGCAAATTTTTCAGAAGAACTTAAATATTAAATACCTGGGCGAATAAGTCAGTAGCATCATGACTTATGAACTGAAAGACTATGTGGTGGGTTAAAGCAATATTATTAGTTGGCTTTTTCTGGAATTATGTGAGTGCATTATTATTTTCCTTTTCCTTTCCTTCATTTTAATATTATACCGTAGAAAGGTATTTGGAATGTGAATAAGAAGTTATCGTTTACCGCTGGAGAGGCTGATTAAATGTTTGTGGAGAGGGATGTGTGTTGAGAGATGTGTGAGAAGGAAGAAACATGGAGAGGGCAAAAGGAGAGGATGAGAAACAGGGGTGAAAGGAGAGAGCTAAAAGAAGAGTTCATTCGATCAGCTGTGCAAAATTTTCTATTCTGAAGGACAGTTTGGTTATTATTTGTTCACAACACTCTTGATGGAAATGTCAAGGGGCGGAAGGTTTCTAAATTTTCTCTTAGTGTGGGCAAGCTAAACTCACACCCATCCTCATTGGGAATTAACTATAGTTTTTGATTAATGCAATTTTTAAATGAAATGAAGAAGGACCATAGTTATAGATACATTGATGAAAAACAAGAAGTTCATTTAAATTATATGCATGATTTTCTTTTAATGAATAGATTAACTGTCGAGGAGAGGAGAGAAAAATGAAGAGGAATGACTTTGAGGAGCTGGTTCTTAACAAAACATACATCGACAAAACGCTCTTCTGTAAACTATTTTTGGAATCTGATGTGATGATGTACATTACAGCTCCAAGTGGGTTTGGCAAATCATGTAATCTGATGATGTTAAGGACGTTCCTGAGTCTACCGGTAAATGAAAATGGCTTCCGGATTGATAAACACGCAACTCAAGGATTTAAAATTTTTTCTGAACTGCCATTGGCTATTTTTAACGAGAGTTCTTTGTTCAATGAAAATTTTGGAGAACATCCTGTTCTCTATTTCCAGTTCCATAAGTTGATCTTAGGTAATACAAGTGAGGACTTTATCTCTTCATTCCGAGAGGTCATCAGCGAAACTTACGATGAGCACAATTACTTGTTGAAATCTAGTAAACTATTGAAATCAGACAAAGAACACTTCAATCGACTAAGGACCAAGTCCAAGGAAGAGCATCCAAGTTTGCTCTCAGCTAGCGGCAAAACATTAACGTACCTGCTGTCAACACACTTCAATCGGAAATGTGTCATCCTCATTGATGATTTTGACTCTTTATTGCCGCAAATTTTAACCAACAATTACATAGAAAATAGAGATGTCAGCAATATTTTAGGTTTTCTCAGGAGTTTCTTAGCATCTACGGTCTCTAGTAACCAATTTGTGATAAAAGTGCTCATGACTGGATGCGTGCGGTTTCTTCCGCCAGAAACTGCAATGGATGCAACAGAAATCCAAACTGTTTCCTACTCACATGACGGGGATATAGCCTCATTTTTTGGTTTCACTGAAGATGAGGTCACAAAAATGTCGAAGCTCTTTGGGAGAGAAAAAGAAGTAGAAGAAGTCAAAGAATGGTATTGTTGTTACACAGCAGACCAAAGTAAGCTCAAAATTTACAATATGCACTCCATTTCGCGCTATTTTCAGTCGAAAAGGCTGGCTGTGCATTGGTCTGATTCAGGAAGAGTTGCTCAGCTCCGCCATATTTTTGATTATCATTATTTGGGCCATATTATTGATGACTCACTCCTCTATAATAGAATATCAATTGCTTTACTAAATGAGATGTGTCGTTTTAACACTGTGAATGTAATCCAACTAAAAAACACTATCAAGCACAAAATTGTCTACGATCTAAGGGAGATTCATAAAAATTTGTTCTTAAAGTATATCGAGGATCATGGCTACCTTGCCATGTTCAAGGTGTCTGCAGCTGGTTATATATACGGTCGGATCCCTAACCGTGAAGTTAAAGAGAGGTTGGAGCATTTCATTTATACTACATCCTATTATAAGTTAAAATTTGACATCCCCCTGCGGTTGATCAAATTGTATATTAAATCCCTTGCAAATCTAAATGAAAACCTGATAGTCTACACATATTTTGCAAAACTTGTCGAGATGATATACAGTTATTTAAGTGGTCCTGTTGGAGAGGAGGAAGTTCTGCGAATTCTCTTCACTTTTGCTAGAGATTCTTTGAGATTTGAAGCTGTGCATACAGGCCTAATTCTAAAGAGTGGTAGAAAAGTTCATCTGGTTGTCATTACCAAAAGCAAGAAAAATGGAGGGCGAACTGGAATTATTGTGGAACTAAACTACAAGAAGGAATCAGCACGAGAAGCTTTGTCACGGATTATCACGGGAAGACATTGTGATGTGTTTGAGAACGAATTTAAAAACTTTGATGTCAAGACGAAAATTCTGGTTGGCTTACAGTTGAGTAAGGAAAATAAGTGCAGTATTTGTTTCCTGTGCAACAGCACAAATATTTTAAATGCAAAATCGGAAAATATCAAATTGAAACTTCCTAAATTTTGAGGTTTTGCATGTGTCTGGCAGGGAATACATTTTTTTCTTTAAAATTTGTGTACATTTTCTAGCTTACACTTAAGTGTAAACTGCTGATTTTCTGACTTATACATTTTAATAGTTTTTTTTCTGAAAATCTATCTAGTTTTTTTTTTTTGTCTGAAAATCTATCTGGTTTTTCTTATTCTTTCTAAAAATTTTCATCCGGTTTTTCTTTTTCTTTCTGAAAATCTATCAACTCTTTGACGAGATAGACGTCATAATTTTTTGTTTATTTTAAGTTATTTTAAGTACCATGAAAGTTACAGAATGTGTATCTTAAATTTATGCTTGCACTGATCCAGAATATTTCATATGTTTCAACAGGAATGCAGTTGAAAATTATAACTGGAATTGTTATGGAATATTTTTGATAGGGCGAGAAAAAACAATGACATTATTCAGTTTGATTGATCTCTGTGCAATGAAATTAGACTATGACAGAAAATTTGTGACATTATTCAAATAAAAGAGCCTTTGCAAAATACATGCTATTTTACCTTAACTAGGCTGGCTTTCTCAAAATTAAGTTTGGAAGTAAAATCAATACAAACCTTTGTTCATGCGCGACAGTCGACTCATGAGGCATGAGCATGGGTGGTGCTCGGAACATGTAACTGAATGGGTAGTAGATGAGGTTCAAGAATGTTGCAGCATAAAGATCAGCGTAGCGAACAACCTGAGACGAGAAAAATGTTTGCCTGGATCCTGATCTGAACAAACTTCCTAACATACCATAAGCCAAATCCATTTTGTGCGTTACGTCTCTGATTGAGTTGCGCACTTTTGAGATGTCTGGTTTTTCTTTTGTACTACTGTCTAAGTTTCTGAAAAATAAACAGACAATTGAATGTAAAGTTGTATGAGACTGTCATTTTTGACAATGATCAGAAGGGGAACTAAATAAAAAAAAATGAGAGCAATTGCTTTTAAATTCTTGGTCTACAAGGATCAGCAAAAATAATTGATGTGCCTCCATCCAGATTCTTCCAGTGACTGCTTTTTGTAAAATATTTCAAGCACTATTGGAAATTGAGGATGAAACCTTACTTGGTACTTTTCTTGTTAAAAGCTATGCCATATATTTCTCAAAGGTCAATTTTAGAAAAAAACTATTGGATTTTTAAACTAATTAATACCTGGAGATGATTTGTAACTTGTGCACATGTAAGGGTAGGACAAGAATCTTTGTTAGCAAGCAAAAGAAGAAAAAAAAAATCTGTAGTTGACTAGTTTGATTGCTCATTACTGGACAAAATCTTTTTCTTATTTTTTTGCCGTTTTAAGAATAATTTTTGATAGATTTTTTAAATAAATGACAGGTGAAATTTTCTTACAAAAATAAAGAGGGGGCTGAAACTTTGAAACACCAGAATTGACAATGCGACATACGATTTCATAACTTCATCATTGACAGGTACATAGGGAAGTAAATTAGAAATACAATGAGGTGAAAAAATTCATTCACAGCATTTCGATACTTTTATCATCTTATTTCATTTGTGATGAAAATTAAAGACATAAGCAAGTCTCAATTGAATGATTTGGAAAGAATTTTATGAACAAAAAGGTAACATACTTGTACATCTCTCCTAGCATTACATCTAAGGCTTGCAGTTCAGCGAATAGCTGACACTTATCCGTCCAAACGTGTAGTTCTTGAACAAGCTCAGGTACAATTAAGAAAGTCCTCCATCCACGAATTTTCTTTGATTTTAAAATGTCACCAAAAATATGATCTCCTACGTATAATACATCTTTTCCTTTGGCACCCATTAGCTCTGTGAATACATCACAAGACCCTGAAAAAAAACAGAAAAGATTCCTATCATTAAAAATTATTAATAAATAAGAATGAAATATTTTGAAAATTCTGCAGTCTGCCTGACCTTGTACTTGAGTTCATAAACTTAAGTGAATTTCTACGATATTCTGGGCATTTCAAACAGTTATGTTTGTCCCTATTAAATCAGTTTGGGACTTTATTTGGCTCATAACTTTAGTGCTTCAAAATTGTATGAGAACAATAACATTCTTCAGCGATGGATCAATGATCTGCTTGAGTAGTGCTTCCGAGCAGTTCCGGCGTGTCGCACCAAAATTCAAATTAAGGGGTGGATTAGTTTTAGCCGGTTGGCTCCTGCTTTTACCCATCTTGAAATACTCTGAATAAATAGAGCCAAACCGGCACTACTTAGTACCTGTTTGTTCTGAGACAGATCACCAAAACAACAGGAAATGTTCCATTCAATAATAATTTTTCTTGTTTCACTAAGCTCTTCCAAATTTTTCTTGTGCAGTTTTGTTGTTAGGCAAAACATTTCTACAGATAAGAAAGATTCCTTGGAAATTTTAAAACCACCTTGTGCGACACAAAAAAAAAAAAGATTCAATGATCAGTGAATAAATTAAATATTTTTTCTATTGAATATGGTTTGAAGAGGATACTAAAGATTATAAAAAATGGAGAAATAGAGAAGGCGGGAAAGAGTGTGTCTCTTGAATATGCAACTACAAAAGGACTGAAAGGAGAACAATAGAACGATGGATGGTGTTCAAATTCAAATATATTTTCACCTCCTGAGTAGACGGCATCTTCTAACAACGGGCCTGTGTGAGTCCCAATTTTGAGGGCACCTGTGTGTGTGTCCACCTGTCTGAGCAACGTCCCTTCACTAAAGAATAAGGGTTTACGAGCATCCACAACTATTAGATCGAAATATGTTTTCCAGTTTCTATGAGGTTCATCTGGCTGCAACAGTAATAACAAGAGGTCTCTATTATAACACTGACAACGTAGCCGACAAGTAGGGGTCTCAGGTTACTGGCTCTTTGATCACTTGTTCTATGAGCGACATGTTTTTTTTTTTTTGGGCTATGTTTCATTGATTATATTTTAATGAAAATATTTTAATTTAGATTGGAATTAGGATCAGGAGCTTTTGTCTAATTTTCTACAAATTTTTCATGAAATATACAGATTTTCCCAGGATTAAGTACGAATATTGAAGGAGTCGATTCTTTGGGTCAAAAAAGAAAAAAAACCTTTTTAAGGTTTAAATTTTTTTCCAAAAACGCTTTCCCTGGGCGCCATGACTCCCCAAAATTGGAGGAAAAAATCGTCTTTCTAAAAAAATACAGGCACTGAGAAATTTCAGAACATGAATTCACGCGCTAAATCAATTTGCAATGAAGATGCTGAGCAAGCCTTTCTTCGGAGGAAAATTGCCCTTTTGCCAGAGAATTTATTATTAAAAATATAATTTTCATGACTACTCTGCTGATAACTAAAAATTAGTAAAAGTAGTTGAAGAACTATCACACTTTGCCAGCCTCTCCAGGGGGAGGACAGAGTCAAAATTTTTACTGCTGGTTGGACAAATGAAACGAAATCATTGCTACTGAAATCATCCTAATCATGGAGAATTAACACATTTTCAGTTTGAGAGAGAAAATGAGACATTCAACAATGAGCAGCAAAGATGAAAAAGTAACTTTAAAACAAAAACCAGTTCATGAATCGATACAAGGTCTTTCTCTTTCTTATCTATCAGTTCAAAAATGAGCGCAACTCTTAATTCTGGATTAGACCAGATGCAAACACACAGTAAGCAAATCATGCGGAGTGCAAACACAACTCATTACACATCACGCCTTCGTTCAAAAAATGTTCTTAGGTCTATGAGATTTGAATGAGAGAGCCTCTTACCCGGGCACCGTGAGGGAAATCAAACAGATATGTCATTATCTTATCAGTGAAATTGTAATCACTGTTTGTGAGAAGGAATACTTTTGCACCGCTTTCTCGGATGCGAGTTAGGATCATCGGCAGCCTTTCATCTTTCTTCACGTATTCGTCTAAGTTTTTGATTGTTTCTGACTTGAGATCACCCTGCAACAAGAGAAATACATCGATTTTATAAATTACCATGTTTTCCCTTCCTAAAAGTATGAGAGTAAAAAAGAAGCAGGAAAATAAGGAGTATTATTTACGGCAGACTTAGTGCTAACCTTGGAGTCAGTACCCAAAAAACAAGGGATTTTTTGGTTTCATAAGAGACAGAGAGAGAGAGAGGAAAGCGGTAGAAATTCCTTTTCAGAAAGTTGTTTGTTCTCTCATTTGTCTTTTGTACTCATGTTTTGACAGCTGAGAGTGAGATGGAACTGTTTGTAATGATGTAATTTTCTTTTTTCTCACTTAGTAAAGTATACAAAAATCCAAACACCGGCTAAAAAATTAAAAATTTCTTTTGAAACAGTAAAACGACAAGCATGATAGGAAAGTAGCTTCTCTTATCTCAAGTGAAAAGCTAACAGTTGGTTACTCGACCTAATGCAGAGCTTTCAGCTGAATGCCCTCTCTTGAAACATGTACAACCCTTGAATTTGTTTAAACAAACGTAAGGATTTATGATCAGTTCGATGCTCTTTTTGGATGAATTTTAACTTTGCCTCCTAATTTTTAATGTTTTACACTCTCTTATTGTCCTTGAAGATACCAAATATTTGATACTTTGATGATTTCTTGCACTGTTTTACTTTCTGAGAATAATTTAAAAAACACAAAAAAAACCTCGAGCACTAATAATTACCTGAATATGAATCCAATCTACTGCACTTCGTACATCTTGGAAAATTGACCTGAATGACATGAGGAGATCTCCATCGCGCACTCCTGTTTTATCCCTGTAGAGCAAAGCAGTTAAAAATTAGCTGAAAATATTAGGTTAAAAATTCCTTTAGACGACAATTGCATTCTGTCAATTTTCCTCTTAAATAATATTTGGTATGATCTACATCATACAAATTTTGTAATAAAAAAGTGATTAAAATCTTGAAATTCACATAACTTTTTGATGATCAAGCAAAAAATTAAAGGAAGAAAATATGTATGTTGAAATTAAACTCAGGCCAACAAAGGAACAAAGTGAACCCATGAAAGTAGAAGAAAATCTTTGATTCCTCCAACAGAGTTATTCTCATAGAGGACTTAGATATTTGGCCTTCAATGCGATTATTTGCTCCTCTTCGCGCCCCTCTCTCAAACATCAACAGCTAAAGTCAAATACTGCAAAACCCCATTACCGCCTTGAGAATTTCCGATAGTGTTTCATTTATTTCAAATAAAAGTAATCAAAACTCAGTAAAATTGTCTGTAAATGTTTCAGAGTAGGTGAAGAAAATTCACAGAAAATTTCGAAGAAAATTGTGGATTACATTTTAAAAAATAAAACATGGGCGGCAATTTTCAACATTCCAATTGGAGATACGCATTTTTTGACTTACATTATCGATATTTTGTTGAATTAGCTACTGTTTGTTGAGAGGATCTATGTCATGTTCATAGCAGAATTACTCCTTTTCTATGAGTAATACTCACTGAGCATCTCACTAAAGGATTAAAGTCGGCGAAGAGGTTGAGATTTAATTCTAATATTAGTGAAAATTATAAGAAGAGAGGGACCACTTTACCTTGTATACTGCGGAGAATTGGTGAAGAAATCTATTAAACAAGCTAATAAATATGTTTCAGGTAAATTAAAAAGAGTATTAAGAACATAAACTCTAGATTCATCTAACTGTAGGAACTTATTGGGGTATAACTCATAGATCTGGGACCTGAAAAAGAGGAAACAATAAAAACACATTAGATTCACCATCTGAAAATTAATACATGCGGCTTCTAGTCAGGAAACATTTTCATATTATAACAGAGTCTACTAAATGCATTATAGGAGTTTGCTTTTGCTATTAATTTGAAGACAACATGAAAAATAAGAGAAGGACAACCCAGCAAAAAACAATTATGCATATTATTCCTTCTACTTTTTCTGACTTCTTTTGGAAGGGGCAAGGGAAAAATTACGTCAAATTCACGGACTGTGATTTCATGAAGTTCTGACAAAAAACAGATAAAAAATAAAAATGTTCTAGGTTCAATACATAATCTTTCTGATTATTATTCCTAATTTTTAATTTTTTTTCTTTATGAATGAAAATGAGTCTACTTGGATCATCTCATCACAGCAGTTTCACAAAAACCCCTCACCTTATAAAAAATACTCATTTTCATTCGAGAAGAGATCATATATTCTGTCATATTTCCTTCCAATACTGAAAATTGAACTGGGTTGACTTTCTTTTTGCGAGAGGATAAGCAGCTGTTCTATCTTCCATAATACTTAAATACGACAATTGCTGATGAAAAAGCAAATTATACTAGTTAATTATATTTATGAATTAAGACTTACGGTTTTAGGAACTCAAATCCATGTACACAAACTAGAATATTTCCATAAGCATCAACTTTAAGTAAGTTTCCATACAAAGAGTCAAACCAGAGACCTCTGAAAACAAAAACAAAATCACCAAAATGTAGTTCAAACACTACTTCCACATTCCTTTTTTTATCTTCAGCACAATAGATTGCGGTGTTTCAAAATGTCTGCTCCTATTTCATTTAAACGAGGAGAAACACCCCAACTTTACGGCTTGAAATTTAAATAGAATGTTCTGATAACATAGATGAAAATTCAAGGAGGGTCTCTAGAAATTACGCTGACTAATTTGCCACGCAAAAATAAAATATTACAGGAAAACTGCGACGTCGCAAACGAGGAAACGTGGGTTCGCACTTTGTCCATTGATATACTATCCATTTTCTTAAATTATTGAGAGTATTTTTAACTCTTTCGGTATCCACCCTTGCGTAAAAATAAACCTGATAGATAAAGTTTTTCACGTGTTTTGAAAGAATGAAAATCATTGAACTTTGTTATTCTTTCTTTTGTACTCAAGACGGAGCCAAGCTGAGAAATACTAAAATATCTGCTGAAGAGGAATACAAAGTGCCCGTTGCCTAGTATCAGCTTCCCTCTTTTGCAGTATTCCAACTGACCTTCGCAGTGGCGATTCTTGAAAGTTGACAAGACAGTTTTCACTCCATTTAAATCCATTAAAAATATCGATTTTAGGTGAGGCCGTGAGGCAAGCTGCCTCACCAAAAATCGATTGTTTTACATACATTTAAATAGAGGAAAAACAGTGTTGCCAACTTTCAAGACTCGCTATTGGTCCTTCAACATCCGTCCATTCGGTCACATAATCAGTCAGCAAGTCAAAATAACAGGGTAACGTGGCTTCTTTGTGAGATTAATCAACTTCAGGGTCGGATTCACCTGCTTGCCGCCCATGGGCCGCCTGTATTTTGCCGCCCCCTTCTCATTCGTTTTGAAACTCGATAAAAATTATCAAGTGAACGTGCCAGCGCAGCTGAGGAGGGGTGCATAAGACGCATTTACTCGTGTTGAACACAATTTTTGGGAAAGCCCTGTCAACACTACTGGCAAAAGTTCACGGAACTTTGCGCGAAAGTCAAGTTTCGTAAACCTATCTCTGTGAGGACAAGGCCTTCCATGTTTGGCACAAAGCGTGAAGTATTCAGACAGTCTTGTAGGCGCAATGCGTTTCACGCCGACCGCTCTAGACGCACTGTGTTGGACGCAATGCGTGAAGTGTTCACGCAGTCTTGTAGGCGCTATCCGTTTCATGCTGACCGCAATGACCGCACTGTGTTTGGTGCAATGCGAGAAGTATTCGTGCAGTCTTGTAGGCGCTAATATGTGTTACATGCCGATCGCCGCGCCGAGGGCTTCTCCTTTTCATCTCAAGTCCTCGTTATCATTTCTCTCTAAGTCGCGCCGTTCCAGGCCAAATTGCGTGTTTGGTTTCTCTCTTAACGCGACTAATTGAAGGTACTGTCTCTTGTATCACTAAGAGACGACAAAATTAGAAATTACCATACTCTCAGTAAATGAGAGATTTTGTCGCCTTTTCTCGTTTGTAATTTTTTTGGTCTAAATCCGATTTTTTTTTTATACCTAAACTTAAAAAAATTGCAAATTTTTGCCGCCCCTTAGATTTGCCGCAGTGGGCCGCGGCCCATGTGGCCACCCCCTTAATCCGGCCCTGATCAACTTTCCAGTGATCTCAAAAACCACGAAAAATTTATGACAAATCTGACTAAATCTGCGTAAGCTTGGAAACTTGAAGAGAATATACACTAAGGACAAATAGTAGTTTTTACCTGATGGGAAAAGATGGATCATATTTGAACTGCAATATTTCTTGAGGATATCCCATGTTGACCAGTCGCTCTTTGACCAAGTTGAAACCAAGCCTTTCATATTGCGGTGATTTATACTCTGCAACAAACAAGACAAAAAAAGTTAAAATTCGAGTAAGAAGGTGCTTACTGAGAACTTTCAAAATCTACGGCTTTCACGGCGGGCATAGTTGAGCATTCTCAGTAGTCAAAAATACAACGACGGCTGAAGGGGGGAAATTTGGTTTTTAGTGTCGTGTAGTTTGCCGTGCTGAGGAAGAACGCCGTATGAACATTCAGACGTTGCCAACTTGTTTTCAATAAAGAACGAATTTACTGGATACGCTGTATATTTTTCTTCAACTGTCAGAGAATTTTGTTCGCAATTTGATCTACAATATTTGAAAATGTCAAGGAACAATATGAGTAACTTTCCCCACAAATGCAAATTGTATCCGGGGAGATTTGACAACCCTCGAATGTTCATACGGCGCTCTTCCTTAGCACGGGAGAATATACCCTTCCAAAAGACGACTAATGAGTAATAAGATGAATGGTTGAGGCTGTTAAGACGTCTGAGAACACGAGGCTTCTTGCATTAAGCGCCCCTTCAAATTTCCGCGTAGGCAAGACACTTCCCACGAGTTAATATAGTTGCCTATCTCATCGTTTACACTACACCAATACACCATGGATACAGTATTACAGTCTATGGAAAAACAAAGGAGACATCCACTGCATTGGTGCATTGACTTATGCTGCCGTGCTGAGGAAGAACACCGTATAAAAATTGGAGAGTTGCCAAATTTCCTCGAACAAAACATGTAAAAGTAAGGAAAGTTTTGCATGGTTTTCCTTGAAATTTTTAGATAATTTAGATTAGGATGCGAACAAAACTGTCTAAACATTTTAAAAAAAATTCACAATTTTTCCGGTAAATCTGCCTTTTACTAAAGGAAATATGGCAACATCTGAAGGCCTGATTAAGTTTAGATCTATATCAGTTCACGCAGCAAGTTTATAGAACGCACTTGTGTTTGTAGAACGAATTGCTCAACTTTTCGATCATCAGCCGATATCAGGCGAATTTGAGGGTGGACTTCAGAAAATAACGTTTAACTCCATCAGGGTTTCTAATTTTTTTTTCATTTTGGAAATCCAGATGGAATCCTGATTTTTGACTTCTAAATCCTGATTTCATAATTTTTCCAAATTCTGATTTTTTGCGGAGAAAAACTCACTTCACTTAAGGCGAGTGTAACTTCACGAGAATAGCTATCGATAAAAAAATCCGATCGGACGGCCGAGCCTTCTCAAATCTTGGTTTTACGACCGATTTTTCCTCAATTCCTGATGAAATCGGGATAAAATCCTGATAGAATCGGAAAATCGGGTTAAATCCTGATGCTAGGCACCCTGTCTATGGAGCAAAGCAGTGCAGGGTCTCTAAAAAACAGGTATTGTATCCGAACATAAATTCAATTTTGAATTGCTACTCGGGTAATTATTCATAATTGCATGGTGTAAACAAATACGAGACCATAAACATTTCATTGCATAATAAATTGTAATACTGCTTTGAGGATACGCGAAGTCAACGCTTTGCTGCTATCAAAGAGCGACTTTCATAATCACTCAACGAAGCGCTTTATCGTACCTACCGAGGTAAAAAAAAAAAAAACCCGTTGAATTTGATTGCTATGACTTTAGCCCCGTGTCACTGCCCACAAGATGATAATTTGAGACGATAAAAAAAATTCGAGCTACCGAAGAGATCGAATGCCGCACGTACAGATACAAAAAACGTTAGCAGAAGACAAAATTTTACAAAGTTACCGGATTTATAAATTTTCAGGTTACGATCTTCGACCTCCTCTTTGAGATATAATATTTGAGCGACTGCGGACTGCCATTAGGCCGAGATAAGAGCTAAAAAATCAATTAGAAAGTGAGAGAGAACGACTCGGAAATTCACTCCTGGTCGTTCCTGATGAGGCGAAATTCTGCCCTGCTGTGGAGAAACAACGCAGGCACACTCAAACGTTGTCAAATTTCTTGCGAGAAAACATGCTTTTCCGATGAACTCGTGGCTATTTTCTTCGGAATTTTTCAGAGAATATTCTCTATGGTTTATTACGTTTTACCTGAAAATTTCAGGGAAAACTGTTTCATAACTTTCCTCGAAAATAAATATTGTATCAGAGATAATTTGGCAACGTGCGAAAGTTTTCACGGCGTTTTTCATCAGCACGGTGGAATTGTGCAAAGTTTGAATTTCGTGACTTTATAATTTCTGCTAATGATCTCTCCGTCTCCATACAGGCGTGATTTCGCTCTGCACAACTTTAATAAATCTAATTAATTGGGTGCGGATGACGGAAAAGGTGCTGTGACTGAGAATTCGACGCTTTTTCCTTATATTTTGCGCGCTTCAGATAAGAGCACTTATACTTTAAAAAATTGTAAAGTTCTATAATGAAAGTAGCAAGGCATTCGATACGTGTATTCGATGACAAAATAATCGAGAGAACTGGCCCGGGAGGGGGGGGGAGCTCTGTCTATCAGTCATTCAGGGTTTCCATAGTTTCTCTATCTTTAAATTCTCTGCCTACTTTTGCTTTTCCCTGATTTCAAAAATTTCTGATTCCCTGATCTTCAAACAAAATTTTCGTTTTTTTCCTTTTCCTTTTACCTAAGCTGACTTTCACTTAACTTTGGGCAAAGTTTCCTTACTTAGATGTCAAATTGTGGAAAAAGGCATTCAGAGTGGCCAAGAGTGGTGAAATTGCTACGAAATTTCTCATTTTCAGCTTTTCTGACAAATATCCAACAATTTTGGTGTGAGGTTATGTTCTACTGTTTTGAACCAAACGATACATCGAGCCACTATCGAGTGCGATTCATAGGCGAAACCCAATGTTGCCAATTTGCAAAAATTCCCACTGGTCTGCAAAAACGCTGACACAACTTTTTGCTGGAAAAGGTTGCTGGGGGAAAAGAGATTTGCTTTAGGGCATGGTGTCTAGTTTTCTTGGTAAAGCTCATTCCCTGATTTTTCCCTGAGTTTCCCTGATTTTCAGGAGCTCATTCCCTGATGAGAAACCGAAGTTTTCTCCCACTTTCCCGGGATATTCTTGGGGAGAAGAATATTATTTTCCAGAGTTTCAGATATGAATATCGATTTTAATTAATCTTTCAGCCATTTCTTTGGCGCGCATTCAAAATTTTAATTAAAAAAATGCTCCTGGGTGTTCCGAAATGATCCCTGGGTGGTTGGAGAAGAGATTTCCGATTTCTGGAACAGATTCCCTGATTTTTCCCTGATTTTCCCGGTTTTTTATTTCCTGATGAATTCCGGTTTTCCCCGTCTTTTAAAAAACTAGCCACCATGCTTTAGGGACGGAAAGGTAACACGTGATTCCTACGTAAAACAACATTGGCGAGCGTACATTCCTGAAATTGCGATAATCCCATTGCGAGTATTGAATCGTTAGACATGGTGAATTCGATTTGTGGCGAATTCAAAGAAAGTTATGCGGGATCATGGATGCTAACCTCAAGAGAGAAAAAAAAAGGAAAGTAAACTTCTTAGAGTTATCAGCTATCATGTGCGTCATGAGGAGGAAGCACATGCAGTCGAAAAAAATCCAAGGGGCCGGCGAGCTAATTCTAACGACCACGAATCAAGGCAGCGTTGCCGCTTTAGATGTTAATTAAGCTAAACAATTATACTGCCGGGCTAAGGAAAAACGCCGTATAAATCTTCAGACATTGCCAAATTTACTTTGATAAATCACGAATTCTTGGGAAGATTTGTCGATAGTTTTATTCCATTTTTCATGAAATTTTGTTCGCAATTTCACCTATAGTTTCTGAAAAATTCAAGGAAAAATATTCATAATTTTTGAACTGAAATTTGGCAACTCTCGAATGTTCCGCGCAGGAGTAAAAGCACAAAATATAAAAGAAAACATTTAAAAGCTTTGGAAATCATTAAAGTTGACTCGGAACAACCTTAAAACAAAACACACATCATATTTTCCTGAAATACATATTTTTTTTTCATCAATTTAAATGGGAATAATCCACGCAGAGTGTGCAAACATTTCAAAATCGTGAGTTGAAAAACGCTGACTCCGCTTGATTAAGTATTAGGGCCAAACATAGAGTCAGCAGCGTACTGCCAAGTCGCGCACTGGCGCCTACAAACCTAACATGGATACTTCACGCATTGCGCAATGCTTGAAGTATCTACTTAGGTTTGTAGGCGCTAACGCGCGTTGCGCGCTGGCCGCCCGCCTGCCGTGCCACGGTGCGGCGCCACAAGCAACTGTTCCACAACAGAGGTGCTGCACAGTATCATACGAAATTGAAGGCGCTCCAGCATATTAAGTATGTCAGGCATCCTTTAAGAGTACGGATGAGCTTTCCATGAGGAGTCATGAGGAGGAAGCACATGTAGTCGAAAAAAATCCGAGGGGCCGGCGAGCGAATTCTTCTAACGACCACGAATCATGGCAGTGTTGCCGCTTTAGAAGTTAGTTGAACTAAAAAGTTACACTACCGGGCTAAGGAAAAACGCCATATAAATCTTCAGACATTTCCAAATTTACTTTGATAAATCACGAATTCTTGGGAAAATTTGTCAATATTTTTCTTCCAATTTTCATGAAATTTTGTTCGCAATTTCCCCTAAAGTTACTAAAAATTTCGAGGAAAAATATTCACAGCTTTCCTCAAAAATAAACATTTTATCGGAGGAAATTTGGCAACTCTCGAATGTTCTTACGGCGTTTTTCCTTAGCACGGCAGTATAAGTGAGAAAGTCAGGCGAAAGGGCACTTCAGGCGAAATCTGAAAGTGTCCAGCACAAGGAATAAAACAATTGGGTATCAGAAAAAAGATTTTTACAGGGTTGCCAGAGAATTTAGAGGATGGAATTCCCTGACAATTCCCTGATTCCCCTGACAATTGAAGATATGACAAATGGTAAAGAAGACATGACAATAATTTTCGGGCAAAATGTAGTTCGAAACCTCAAACCCATTCTAGAAAGCAAATAAAGGCGATTTAACAAATTTTTCCTGACATCTTCGTCAT